CCCAACAGTGCCTGAACCTCAAGGTCAAGCCCAAGTTGTTTCAATGTAGAAAAATAGCTCTGAGCAAAAGTTATTTATTGCAGCGGCCCTGATGGTAGAGAACTGCAAACAACCTGAGCCCATGATGGGATGTGCTTCTGAGCTCTTAGCTGAGGGGCGCACAGGCTCCAGGGACAGAGGGACCCTGACATGGGTGTGTGTGTCCCGGAGAGGCAGGACCAGCACGTCAACCACAAGTGCTACCTGGAAATAGGGCACCCTATTCTGCGTTGGCCAAGCATCCCAACACCAACATGGGAGATGCTGGTGAGGTAGGGGGTGGGGATCACAACTTCCAGCCCCCTTACATGGGCACATGTGGAAATCACCTCCCAGGAACCTGTGGGAGGACAGAAGGTGCTGGGCTGTACGGATGCGACAGGTATGATTTCATTTTCCTTCTTTTCTGTATCTTCTATGTTTTCTATAAACAAGCACATACTTATAATTTCTTTTAAAAAAGCAAAATGGAGGGGCGTCTGGGTGGCTCAGTCCATTAGGCATCTGCCTTCTGCTCAGGTCGTGATCTCGGGGTCCTGGGACCAATCCCTGTGTCAGGCTGCCTGCTCAGCGGGGAGCCTGCTTCTCCCTCTCTCTCTGCCCCACCCCCTGCTTGTGCTCTCTCGCTCACTCTCTCTCTCTCTCTCTCCATCAAATAAATAAAATCTTTAAAAAAAAAAGAGCAAACTGGAGGTAGGGGGGTGCCTGGGTGGCTCTGTCGGTCAAGTTGATTTCAGCTCAGGTCATGAGAGATCAAGCCCACCCACGTGGGGCTCTGGTATCCCAGAGCGTGCTTGAGATTCTCTCTTTCCCTCTCCCTCTGCTCCACACCCCACCGCTTGTGAGTGTGCGCTCTCTCTCTCTCTCCCCCCACCTCCCTCAAATAAATAATAAATAAAATTTTTAAAAAGCAAAATGGGGGCCTTTGGTGCCACGGTCATTTGGCATCTACGGGTCAGTCTTGTGGCCTCTCCCTTGCTCTCAGCCCCTTAGGCACACCCAGGGGAGCCTGGGCCAGCAGGATCTAGGAGGTACCTCCTTTGGCCTTGATATTGAGCCTGGGGTGACAGGAGGTGAAGGGGGATGCTGCTTTGTGAAGGGTGGGCCTTGCTGGGGCTGAGACCCCTTCACCTATACCATCCCAGACTCCTGAGTGGCCCAGGCCTCACTCTCCCCATCTGTACACTTGGTGCCCTCTACCCCCCAGGCACTGCGGCCCAGATCCCACAGGCAGGGATGGCCCACGGAGGTGCCCATGTCTCCCTCCGGGGCAGAAAGTGAAGGCCCTGAGAGCTTGGGGGTGGCAGCATCTCACAGCCTCATTATCTTACAAAATGCAGAGAGCAGCAAGTACATTCAGATGAATGAATGGCCTAATTAGGATTTCACGGAGAGTGAAAATATTTTGAAAAGAAAAAGTTTAACTAAAGGCATATTCGAAATACCAAACTCATCAGCTGCAAAGTCAACCTGGCAACATGCGCCAGGGCGTGGGGTACTTCCATCTATCCACCTGATAGTGGGCAGCCTTCCTGTGGGCGAGATAAGCTGGGGGCTGGAGGCCCAGGGAAATGCAGGGCTGGGGTAAATGCTACCGCGGGCTTGCAGAGACGGCCCAGGAGAGCCTGTGTAGGCCAGCACGGCACCATCTTGCCCATAGGCCTCACGAGGTTGGCCCTGCTTGCACTGGCCACACCAGCAGCTGTGAAGCACCCTGAACAAGGATGGCAAGGCCAGAAGCTGGTGCGGCGCCCATGCCCTAACTGCGGCAGAGCACCAAGCGCGCCAAGCCCTTCACAAGGCCTACAGGGTGAGCAGAGCCAGGGTCTGAGCCCAAGTCCTCTGTGCAGAATGTTCTTCCTCCTGCCTCGCCTGAGAAGGATGGGCTGTGGGACTGGGAAAGGGCCTGGCGCTCCTGTGGCAACCTGCCCACCTGGAAATGACAAAGGAGTCTGACGACAAAGGCCCCTGGATGCCTGGCTGAGAGTTGCACAGGAGAGAGAACAGCAATCGGGCACCAGGCTCTCCAGCCACACCAGCAGGGGCCCTGCTTCTGAGGGGCTCTACCGTGCAGGGACCTCTTTTCAGTAAACAAGCGTGCTCAGAGTGGGGACAGGCTCTCTTGTGGGAGCCCTGAGACCCGGGGAGACCAGCATAGGACATGCCACAGACCCACACAGGGAAGACCGATTGGCTCCAAAGAGTGAAGCCTAAGGCGAATCCCACAGAAGTCCCAGGGAGAGCGACCCAACAGAGTGGTTCCAACAAGCACATGGAGGGTAAATGTGCAGAATAACCAGGACTTTTGATAACAAAGACTGATCAAGGGGAGGCTCCAACCTGATATTTTTAATCAGGCAGTGGTCACTGGCTAAGGGCTAGACACTTGCCACAGGCACCACAAACTGAGGACACATTACGTGATGCTTCCAACTTCTGGTGACAGAAAATGTTAGTCAAGAAATGGTTCAGGGGCGCCTGGGTGGCTCAGTTGGTTAAGCGTCTGCTTTTGGCTCAGGTCGTGATCCCAGGGTCCTGGGATCGAGCCCTGTGTCGGGCTCCCTGCTCAGGGGGGAATCTGCTTCTCCCTCTGCCTCTGCCCCTCCGCCCCACTCACGCACTCTCTCTCTCTCTCTCAAATGAATGAATGAATAAAATCTTAAAAAAAAAGAGAAATGGTTCAGATACAAGTGAAAAATAAAGTTAAATCCTCAACTTACATTTATGTCAAAATAAATTCTCGATAGATGAAATCTTGAATGTAAAACACTAAACTAGAAATACCTCAGGAAGATAGAGGCGCCTTTACCTGACTGGGTGCTCTGGAAGGACAATGGAATAACTAAAAAAGGAAAATGTTCATTGAATTTCACCATAAAATATGAAAAATTTCCGTTATAAACAAAAATTGCAGGACTGAGAAAGAACTTGCAAGCACACAGATGAGGGAAGAATTCATACTTTAAAATAAAGATTCCAATCAATGACTGAGAGACACATTTTGATAACCCCAAAAAACCCCCAGCACGGGTCCAGTGGTCACAGAAGCACAGTCATGCTTGGCGCAGTGGCCTTGCCCAGGCTGGGGGAGGGGGGTTCCCCAGGAGGTGGTATCAGTGCTGGCATGGCTGCAATGAAGGGCACCCACAGCCCCTTACTGCCTTCCGGCTCCCCCTTCTCAGGGAGCCCTGCAATTATCATCACCAGCTTGCAGTTCTACGGTTGGCCACTTTCTCTGTTTGTTGCTGCCTTCTTGGCCAGGCCAGGGGTTCCCCGAGGGCGGGCCTGTGCCTGATGGGGTCACAACACTCAGCGTCTGACATGGAGCTCAGCAACTGGGTACCGAATGGCTGAAGGTGAGTATGGGAGATACACAGGTGCTTGCCATCAGCCCCTATCCCAACTTAGTCCCCAGGTCTCCCCCTCCCCAACTCCCTCATGATGTGGTCAGGGCTACACCCCAGGGTCCCCACAGAGCGGGGGGGCCCTAGCCAGGGCCCAGGTTCTGCTTCCCAGTTTGTGAAATGGTCCCAGCCCAGAGCAGAGATGGCAGGAAGAACATAGCTATTACTCCGCGCCCACGGCAGGCATGAATAGTCAATCACTGTGGCAGACAAGAATAATCAATCACCACACTCGAGAAGGACAGGACAGAAACCAAAGAGAGGAAAAGGCAAAGAGAGACACAGAGCAGACCAGAGAACAACGGGGAGAAGACCAGGAGGAGGAGGTAGAAAGGGATAAACAGGGACAGGAAACAAGCAAGCAATGCTAGGAGACCGGGCAAGAGTGGCAGGCAGGATAAGGGAGACCCTGTGACCAGAGATATCGTTTGGTGTCTGGCTGGTGGGCCTACCAGGAGTTAAGGGGGGTAGGGGCCCGCACCCTGCCAACCTCACCCCCAGATACGTCACCCATACCACAAGCAATACCACGTCCTGAGCCCTGGATGCAGCCTGAGCCTCTTCATCCCAATCCAGAAGCCCCGCTGTGGCCCAACCGCCGGCCACTGAGCTGCCTGGCCTGACCTTGATCGGCCCAGGGGGTACACCGCCAGGTGGCAGCAGATGCACAGCTACCCCCAGCCCAGCAGGCAGCTTCCCACACCCACAGTCATGCGGAATAGGGAAGAAGGAGCCAGGCCCTGTCCCTCCCTGTCCTACAGCCCTTGGCACAGAACACTGAGGTGTCTGGAGGCCTGGGGGCTCCTGGGTGTGTGGCCACTGTCTTCTTATCACACAGCATGGGCACTGGCTGGGCCAGGCCATCCACACTAGATCCTCGGGGCCACTGAGAATCCACAGGGCTGGGTTGGCCAAGCCTCCCATAGAGACAGCGCCCAGCAGGGCAGGAGCAGATGGCTGGGTTGGGGACTGGGCACCCATACCGGAGGAACAAGAATGACCAGAGGCACTGTCATTAGCCAACGCCACTCTGTAAATGCAGCCACCACGGCAAACTCTGACGGGCCAGGGTGCTAGCAGCGCGTACTTTCCCACCACTCAGGGGGACCTGGGGGACACAGGGACCACAGTGCTTCTCAACCCTGCCATACTTCCCAGGCACCATGCCTTAGTCTCGCTGGAGGAGCGACTACCAGGTAAACATACAAACACCGGTAACACCCAGGGCCATGGGCCAGCACATGACGGTCTGTCCCCAGCTGGTAGCTCTAGTCTCCCCTGGGCAGGAGGGACCACCTGAGCTAAGAGCCAAGCTGGGTAGGCTATGCTGATAGCAGACACTGCGTGGCAGGCATCCAAGTCAAGATAGGTGAAGATCAGACCCAGCCAATGTCCCGGTGTCAGCCCCACTGCAGGCTCATCCCCAGAATGAGGCTGACCGGAAGCATTCATCACCCCGGGCCATCCCTCTGTCAGCCACACCTGCCAGGCCCACCGGGACACTCTTCTGTCCTCTGCAAAGGGGGGACATCCCCAGGCTAAGCCCAGGCCGCTTACCTGTCTTGAGGGGAGATCAGCGTGTCCCAACGCCCATCCTGCCAGTCGCAGCTCCTGCAGGGAAACCACAGGGTACCTTGTGAAAGTCACCTGCTGGGCTAAGTCCCTTCTAGAGGAGGCCAGAGCCCTGGTGGGGCAGTGTCATCCCTGACCCTGAGGTCATCTTGCGGCACTCCTGACGGGTACCCACGCACTCGTGCACGTTCTCTTATCCCCACTCGGCTGGAGCCGTGGCGTCTGCGGTTTATGTCGGACGACCACCGTCCCTTGTAGATGTTTCTACTGCTGCTGACTAGTCTTCAAAACCGTGACTGTTCAGCTGTAGACTGGTAATAATGTCTTCCCCATTCCAGAAGGCTGGGTGTGCTTCGTTGTGATAAACGATACAGCAAGGAGAACTTCTGCACCAGGGTCCCACTGCCCGCCCCTCAACACCTGCTTAGCTCTGCTCCCCTCTCCGGGACCCCACTCCTGCCCCGTGCAACAGGCCATCTGCCTCTCCTGATGCTCCTTGGGGCCAGCCCAGAACCCGAGTCCCTGTTAGGCAGGCAGCCCAGCTCCCAGACCCTGGGACCAAGGGGCCAGACTTATGGCTAGATGTGCCTCACATGCAGGAGCTACAGCCTCATGGGCTTCCTATCTCAGCCCATGACCCAGAGAACACATTCCCTGTCACTGTACCTAGGCCTGCGGACCATGCCAGAAAGTGTTTGCATTAATAAAAATGAAAAACAGGGTGGCGGGCACCTGGCTGGCTCGGTTTGTAGAGCATGCAACTCTTTTTTTTTTTTTTTAAGGTTTATTTATGTATTTGAAAGAGAGAAGGAGGGAGAGAACAAGCAGGGGTAGTGAGGAGGGAGGAGCAGATGCCCCGCTGAGCAGGGAGTCCAATGTGGGGCTTGATCCCAGGACCCTGGGATCATGACCCAAGCCAAAGGCAGATGCTTAATTGACTGGGCCACCCAGGCGCCCTAAAGAGCACACAACTCTTCGAGCCCTGTGTTGGGTATAGAGATTACTTAAAAATAAAATCTTTAAAACCAGAAACCAAAGCCAGGGTGGCACAAAGAGGAGGGGAGGTCTGGGTTGCAAATGGAAAGCCATCTCTGGGGGGTCAGGGGTGATAGAAGCTCTCTCCCCTGGGCTCTACAGTGTTTTCCAGATTGTTCCTCTATCTAATCTTCCTTTGTGGATGTGGCCTGTAGGGGGCCCTGAGGGTAGGTGTCCTTGCCTCCCAGCAGCACCTTCCTCACAAGGAGGGGCTCTGAGTCACGGTGGGATCACAGGAAGGTCAGGATGCCTGGGGTCAGAGGCAGGAAGGATAGTGGCCTGAGCTAGGCAGGTGTGCGTGCACGTGTATGCATTCGTGCACACTCACTCTCGTGTGTGCCTGGGAGGGCAGTCTGGGAGGGAGCCTGCCTGCCCACTGTACCCGCCCCGCCCACGGCAGAGGAGCTACTGTTCCTACCCTGAAGTCTGAGGCTCAGGAAGCAGCTTCACTTGCAGTGTGACGTTTCTGGGACACTTCTGTTTTTGGCTTAAGTGTTCACATAGGTTTTGTCCCACAGAGAACCACATGCCTTCCTTACCAGTCCGGATAACTGCCAACCTCCCCCTCAGGGCTGGCCTTGTGCAGAGCCTCACAAGGTGAGGGCTGTGTGCCCTCGTGTCACTCTCGCTGGGCGCCTTGGATTGGCCCAACACCCCATTTTACAGATGCGTAAACTGGGTCCAGGATTTGAACTTAGGTCTCCCTGTTCCCAGCGCCCCCACCTCAGCCAGGGATATTCGGCCACAAGAAGAACATGCTCCCTCCTTGTGGGGCTCTAGCCAGGCTAAGAGCTCCATAAACACAGAGGAGAGCCAGCAGTAGACCAGTTGGGGGAGGGAATTTGCAGGGCTGCTGGGGGAGGGCACCAACGGCTTCCTGCAGGAGAAGGGTAGGGGAAGTGGGAGGCTCTGGGGGATGCAGGATGGTGGCAGCTTTGGGAGGCATGAGTCCCCAGGGCACCCTTGTCACAGGACACTGTATAGATGGGAGCAGGGCAGAGCCTGACAGGAGCCCTGAGGGAGTGGACAGACGTGGATCTGAAAAAAGGATGAGTGACAGGATTTGTGATGAGAGTGCAGGGAGTCCCTGTCTCGGGAATCCCTTCTTAGCACCCCCTCAGGGCTGATCTGTAGGCTTTGGGGTCACTTACTTGGCCAAGGACCCCTGAACCAGGAGCCTTGGGGCTAAGGGAGCCACCAAACCTGCCTCTTAGCGGGCTCTATCCCCAAATGAGGAAGGTCTGGAGAAGTGGAGCAACTCCACCTGGCTATACAAGCCTCAGCCTAACCGTGCCATGGGCCTCCCCACACTGGTGTACCCCAAAAATCTGTCCAGTCTGTCCCCACTCTTGGGAAGGCCTGCTGCATCTCCGATTGGGGCAGGAACCCAGGCCACAAGGGTTGCCAAGCAGCCAGTCCTGCAAAGCCATGGTCATGTGTCCATGGCATGAAGCAGCTCCATGAGCACAAACTGAGTCCAGAAGAGGGATGGGGCCCCAGCTGGGTGGGCTGGGTGGGCAACTCGGGGCTATGGCAGGTGATGAGGAACCTGGGTGGTGGGTGGGTGGGGCGGTGGGTGGGTCAGGCAGGTCTGTCTAGGAGCCTGTTCTGCACTCAAGCCTCACGTCTTCCTCCACTGTGACACATCCTGACGTGCTCTTCCAGGCCACTGGACACTTTGGGTGCAACGTGAAAAGGCACCCGCTTCTGTGGCACCTTCTTTCACAGATAAAGTGGAAGAGGCACAGCCTCACCCTGACAGCCTGGCTCAGAGTCTGCACCGGGACCCTTAGATGCTGGCAGGGTCAGCCTATGGAAGCCAAGGAGTCCCCTGGGGCCCAGGCCTGAAGGCGGCCTCACTCAGAGCCTGTTTTTCATTGTCTTTGCCTGAGCCTGCGCTCAATCACCCTGCCATTCAGTCCCTGGGTCTCCCCTTGCCTGAACTAAAGGTGGTGAGGGGCTCTGAGGGCTACTGAGGGGCTTGTTCCTCTCCAGCTCTGTACCCTGGACAGGCAGTCTGGAGGAAGCAGAGCTCTGGACTCCCCACCAGGTTCCTCAGGAAGGGTCCCAGCCCTGAGGGAGGCTGGGTGGGGCCAGTCTTGCCTGCCATGGCAGTCCTGGGTGCCCTCTGGTGGCCATACTAGCTAGTTGCCGCTTTCCTAGAGGCTATTGGCTCCTCAAGATCCACTGGGGCAGTGGGAAGGGCCTGACACAAGGTGTGGGAAGGGATGAGATGGGTGTCCATCGCTCTGCGCTCATCTTCCTGACCTGTGAAATAAACCGAACTGTACAGCTGTCCCAGTCAGGAAAGCCCAATAAGGGAGTCCTGACCCCATGTTCTCTCTGGTTACTCCCAATCCTGGGTCTCCTGCTGAGCAGCCCAAGACTCAATCACTATCTTGATGGAAGCTGGTGGTAAAAAAAAAAACGGATGCCGTCCCCTGACTTAAGCCGCCACTGAGAAGTCCCCAGAACCCCCGATGGCCCCCTGGCAGTCCACAGGGGTTGCCCCGCCCTCCCCCCCCCTGCTGAGGCCAGACCAGGTCACAGGGCAGATGTTAGGGACTGGCTAGGACTCTAGCATGCCTAGTGTTCTTGCGCCCCAGCTGTGTGTAGCTCTTGGCTCCCCTTGAAGGTGCAGGATCCCACTCTTCATGCCCTTCAGGCCTGATGGAAGTACAGCCCTGCTTTCACAGAGCCTCAGAGATGCAGAGACCGGAGGGGCCACCTCTGCAGGAGGCACCATGCAACCCCAACATGGCATGGGGAAGCTAACTTAGCAGGACTGAGAGCTGGCCCAGTTTACCTGGGAGGGTTGGGTCTGCAGGTACTTGTGTCTACATAGAAAAGACTATGAAGAAGAGCAGGGCAGGGGCTGGCTTGGCTGTGATCCTCCTTCCTAGGCCAGGACTAGAATCCTGAGCATAGTGAATGCTCTGTGCCCAGCCCTGCGCTGGGTGCCATTGGACCATAGACTTGAGGGAGCAGGGGACAGACATGGTACTGTGGTTGGGACAGGGCAAGGTTGGGGGAAAGGATGCGTTCCGGATTCACAGCCCTACATGCTGTGGCCAGACCCAAGGCCTGGACCTATTGGCCATGGGCCCAGTATACTGTGTAGAGGGTTTTGACTGTCTCCTGTGTCCAGCACCATCCCAGGTCCGGAGATACACTGAACACAAGGCAGGCAGGACATGCTCTGGACCAGCAGACCTCTGGTGGTGGCTTGCATCCCAAGTGGAGGCAGGGGGAGGGGATGGAGGCACTCAGTCCACCCTTGGTGCATGTCCTCATGGGGACAGGTTGCCCTCACAGGCAATAAACTGGGTTTATAAATCCTGACTTGGTGTGTGTCCTGCACAGTGATGTAGGTGACAACTGGAACGGGTGTGAGAGAGGAGTAACCACCTGAGGTTACACTGAGAGCCTAGCCCAAAGGATGAAACACTGTTGGGGTGATTCTTTTCTCTTGTTTCTAAACATGCCTGGGTCTAGAGGGAAAACAGCCAGAGTCCCTGAGCTCCGTTTTCAGTGATACCTTACGCACAGGTTAGAAACAGTGACATGTTTTAAGTACCCAACATTTAATTAAACATTAAGATGGGAAGGCTCGGGATCTCAGGCCGCCTGCCCTGCGGCCACACCTCAACCCTCTGCCGGGGGCCCGGTGTCCCACCGAGGGGACCCAGGGGTGGCGGAACAGGGGGATCCCCGGTCAGGGCGGCCCCGTTCAGGGCACCAGGCAGGGACTCCGGGCGGCATCCCCTCCCTCGTCCTCTAGGCGGCGGGAGCAGCGGGAGCAGGGACACCCCCTTGGCCCCGCCGTGCCCCAGCGGGTTCCAGTGGCGCGCCGCCCCAGGAAAGTTCCCCGGCCCCGCCGCCCCTGGGGCCCCTGGAAAGTTCCCGTGGCTGCCGGACCGCAGCCGCAAGGCGCCCGGCGTCGCGCAGGGCGGTCAAGGCTGCGGGTTCCGGCCGCGTCTCGGCGGGGGCGCGCGGTGCGGGGCGCCCTGCCGTGCACAAAGGGACCCCCCCCCCCGCCGTAGTCCAGGGTCTCGCGCACCGCGGCGCGGGCGAGGGACAGGTGGGGCGGAGCCCGGCTCCTTCCCCGGCCGCGATACCCGGCCGGACTTCGATTCTCCGCTAAGGAGCCCACCTAGACGCCGGCCCCTTCTGGACCGCAACCTGGATCTCGTCCGGGACCTGTGGCCTCGTCCCAATCCCGGCCTCGACCTCCGGACCCCGCCCCCCGGCCTGAGCTTACCTGGAGCGCGGCGTGGGCGGCCCCGCAGCGTGGCCCCCGCCCCCAGACGGGCGTCCCCGGGTCTCTCGGCGCACCCGGCGCGGCGTCCCCAGGGCGCGGCGGGGTTAGCGGTCCTCCCGGCCTCAACTTGGGCTGGTGCGGGGGCGGATCCCTCCCGTGCCCAGCGTGCAGCCCCGGGGCCAGCCCTCCCCGCCCCTCGCGCGGCCCGTGCGCAAAGCGGGTCTGGCAGGCTACGCGACCCTCCGCCCCGCCCCATCCGAACGCGAATTTTCCCATTGGCCGGGAGACCCAGCGCGGCCCGGCAACCGGCGCCGATTGGACGGGCGCTGGGAGACGCCGGCTTGCCATTGGGCTCCCGGGGTGTCCGTCCCGGCCGACAACCGGCCCCTTCGTGAAGTGGCCGAGGCCCGGGCACCTGCTGGGACCGCAGCGCCGCGGCCGGGCCGCCCCCACTCGGCCGCGTTCGAGGACGTCCCCAGACCGTCCGGCCCCGAGCGGGGATTGGCAGGCCCCGCGCCCCTTCCCAGGACTCCAGCCTGGCTGCCTCCATCACTGCCCCTAGCTCGCTGGGATCCTTCTCCGGCGTCAGCTGTTCGCCCGGGCGCTGCGCGCCTCGCCCTCCTGTCAATATCTAATTGTGTTCACACAATCCGCGAGGGAGAGTTCTGCCGCCTTTCCATTTTACAGATGGGAAATTGAAGCTCAGAAAGGTTCTCACTTGCTTTAGGTCTCCGGGACTGAAACCTAGTCTGTTACACTCCCGGGCCTGGGGCTTCTTCCTCCCTCGTCGCCCCGGGGTCCTCACAGAGAGGCGGGGCTCAGAGACCTTGGCTCAGCGAGGCTGGATAGGGAGCCGTGTTTCTGAGGGCAGGAAGGGCCTTTCGGTGAAATAGAGGTTTTCCTCCGCCACCAGGCCTGAATCTCCGGACACCTTGGCTCAGCCCACCCTGCAGGACTGCCACAGGACTGCCGTCCCTCATCTCCTCCAAATCACCACACTCAGGGCCTGGGAGGGGGTGGGGGAGGAGTTTGTGTGTTTATCACCATCTCCTCTTCCTGGTGTCCCATTTCCTCCGCCCTACCTGGATCTTGCAGGAAACCTGTAGGGTGCAACCACCTGAGTAGAGTTTCGCACAGGTTGCATTTTCTGCCAGGTGGAGAGCAGCCACCTGGTCCCTGCAGTGACACAAGGCACACATATATGACCACAAATGGGACCATAATCCTTGGCCAGCTCCACTTAACTTTGTGGTGTGGCGGGGGGGGGGGCAATCAAGTGGGGGTGCTGCCCAGTGGGCTTTATTTCAGGGGGTTCAGGAGATGATGGCCCCTTGGCCAGTGACTCTGGCTCACGCTTAGTTCTAAGTCTTTCCTACCCTGGTTGCACCTGGAGATGACCAGATTCTCAGCCCACCATATTCCCCATGTCCACCCAGGGAGTCACAGGCCCATGACAGCGCTAATGGGGAGACCAGACATTCATGTCTTATCCACCCACATCAGGGGTCCAGAGTGTTCACACCATAGTTGCTTGCTTGGAACAAAGAAAGTGAAGTGCTGTAGGGCTAGAACTCACCACTGGTACCACCATTGGGTACCCCCTGTGGTACCTGGCGCACATAGCAAATCTACCCTAGCCTTTGGAGCCAGGCTGCCACCACCAGTCAATTGGAGTTGGCACTTGAGATGAGAGCCATTTGACACTCTGGCATAGTGATGTTGCTTGCGGCTCTGGCAGATGGAATGCCGTGTCCTTCTTTGGAACACAGGGGCCCCTATGAGCAAGGCAGCTCTTGTCCTGGTGATCCAGCCTGGGGGACAGAATCCTGCCTGGAGTGGGGGGCGGGGAGGCAGTCCTCACCTAGGCCAATTCTGGAGCACAATTCTCCTCTTTGCTCTCTCACCAGAGGTCTGTCCGGCTCCTCCTGCCACTATCAGCAAGTGTGGGGGGAAGGGATGATGCTGGACCACAAGCTCACTATGAGAATAGGGCTCCAGGAAGACCAGGGTCCAATGCCCCTGGAGAAATCTGTAGACAGTTGGACTAATGAGATCCACTCCTAATGGAGGGTAGAGAACCCCTCAGCCCACACAGCCGCTGGCTCAGAATGTCACCAATGGTGCAGGAGGAGCCGGACAGACCTCTGGTGAGAGAGCAAAGAGGAGAATTGTGCTCCAGAATTGGCCTAGGTGAGGACTGCCTCCCCACCCCCCTCTCCAGGCAGGATTCTGTCCCCCAGGCTGGATCACCAGCCACATACAGAGGAGTAGGGTGGACAGTATCAGTTCCAAGAGGACTCAAGGCCACTCTCTGGCAGTGGGCCCACTGTGACCCAGACTGCAGGTAGGGGTCAGGAACAGGGAACCCCTACAGTGTGACCAGTGGCACAGGGACCAGTGACCTAGTCTCTTCCCTCTCTCCCACCCTCTCTACCCAGCTGCAGGACAGTTCTGGGGGACATCCCTGGGACATGTGAGCAAAGCTATAGGGACAAAAAGGTTTTAACTTCTCAACAGCGGCAAATGTTCAGAGATCAGAAGGGTGACCAAATAAGGCAGTGAGCTCCCCAACTAAGGATGTGTGAACTCTTTGCAGCCCTGAGACCCCAGGGGTCAGCTTCCCACCCTGACCCATCTTGTCTTATCTGCTCCCTAGCACTGAATGTTGTCCATTGGAGTCAGCAGAGACAGACTATCAGAGTACCCGACATAGCTCCATCCAGATGCGGAGAGTGTAGCTAGAAGTGGGGCTGGCCCAGGGCCATATGCTTCTGTGGCAGACGAGGATTTGAACCTCTGTCCAACCCATGCATGACTGCATTCCTCTTTGCTAGCAACAGGAAAGCACCATTCTGTGTCCCACTCCCCTGAGGCATGTGGCCCAGTGGTTTGGGGCAGACCACTCTGCAACTCCTGCCGTGTACCCCAGGGCATGGTCACACATGTCTAAGCCCCAAGTCGTCTTTTTTTTTTTTTTTAAGATTTTATTTATTTGAGAGAGAGAGAGAGAGAGAGAGCATGAGAGGGGTAAGGGTCAGAAGGAGAAGCAGGCTCCCCACCAAGCAGGGAACCCGATGTGGGACTCGATCCCGGGAAGGGCATCAGTGCTCTGAGTCAGATCACAGATCCACACAGGACTGTGGATTTAATCCAGCCACTGCCACTTGCTGTCTTCTTTTTTTAAATGGTGTAACTGCTCTGAGCCTCAGTGTTTGCATCTGTAAAATGGGGGGAATGACACCTGTGGACTGGGACCCTGGGTTTGGAGTGCTTAGCACATTGTTATTATCCTTAATGTAACTGTCATCCTTGTCCTGGTTTGCCGAGCGCCCACTTTGGAGTAGGCCCTGGGCCCTGGGCCTCTGACTCTCCATTTTCCCTGCACTCAGGCCCTAGACACAGCCCAGAAGACACTGAAGGCAGGGAGCCCAGCAACTGCCTCTGTCCTGTTGAAATGCCCCCAGTCAGTGCCCCTTCCCGCCCTTTTGCTCACTTGCTCACCCATTACAGCTGAGGGTGGGCCAACCCTTCCTCCTAGGGCCTGGACCTGCAAAACAGCCTCCAAGTGGGCTCAAAGGCCGCAGTCGCTGGGTGGGTCTGGAGTGCCCGGTCCAGGGTCTGTCCCGAGTGTGGCAGGATTGTGGGGAGTAGGGGCGGTGGTGGGGGTTGGTGCAAAGGCCAGAGTGGCAGAGGCCGAACCGAACTGGGAGCCATAAAGAAAAGGGAGGGTTGGCCAGGTCTAGAGCTAGTGGGTGTGGAACAGGACCCAGCCTGAGGGGCGGGTCCGGAAGTGGGCATCCCGCCATCGCTCCCAGAGAAGGCCGCCAGGTGGTTTGGTGACCTATGGCCCCTGGAGTTCAGACCGCGGCCCTAATGGGTCCACGAAGGCATGCTCTTGGAGCGGCCGCAAGCGGCAGCGACCTCCCACGGGCATCTTCCGGCGTGGGGAGCCCGTAAGCCTGGGAAAGCCGCGGGGGTCACGAGACCCCCAGACGCCCGCGCAGCCCCGAGGCTTGGCGCAGCCCTGGGGGCGGAGCGCCGGGAGGGCTGCAGCCCCCGAGTGACAGCGCGCCCAGCCAACGGTGCTCGGGGTCGCGGCGTGCCGCCCCGCCTCTGGCGCCGCAGCCCAATGGCGAGCGCTCAGAGGGCGCGGGGGCGGGGCCTGGGCGGCGGTGGTGGCGCGCGGGCGCGGCACCCGGAAGTCGGCGGCGGCGGAGGCGGTGAGTGTGCGGCTGGCGGACCCGGCGGCGGACTCCTCTCCCCGAAGGGCCGGCCAAGGACCCGGGGCGCGGGGCTCCGGGGGGCGCGGGTAGGGAGGGGAGGGACAGGGCCGCACCTCCCCGCCCTGCCTGTTTCCTTTTCCCGAGGCGTGGAATGGAAATCCTACGGCTGGGTCCGGAGAGACCAACTGACCCCGACGAAGCGCCCCATGCGTTACTCGAAGGCGTTTCCAGTGATCCCCGCCCCAATGGGAAGCAGGGTCCATTGGCAGGCCGGGCCGGTCTCGCTGCGGGGAAGCAGAGACTAGCGGGCCGGGAGCTGCGTGGTCGCTGCAGGGTGGGTGGGCTAGGGCCTCAGACAGTTCTGAAGCCCTGAGTCACGGTGCCACCACCCTGTGGCCTGTTGCGGGGCAGACGGATGACAGCTGATGTTTGTCTCAGTAGGCAGCAAGTGCTCGGTCATGCCTGCGCTTGGACACGCCTTTTCTGGGGTGGCTCAGTTAGTCTGACCATCCCCCCAGGGTATCAGGGGTGGGGGCTGGGCAGGGTTGCACCCAGGGCAAGCGCTGGCCCTGGTGCTTGGCTTTAAGACCCCCTTCCCCGACCCCAGAGTGTCAGGTGCTTCATGGCCTCCCTCGGGGCCACAGCTTTAGAGTGAGCCTTCTGCCCTTGGACTAGTCCGTGAGCCTCAGCCCTTTTCCTCCAGCAGGGATATCACATGCTGGGCTCAGGCCTGGCCTGGCGTCCTGCTCCTAGCCTGCTGACTGCTGTTTTGCCGCTGCTGTTTGGGCTCAGAGCTTTCTTCCATGAGGCAGATGTGACGTGATGGCAGCTATAAGGGGTGACTGCAGCTGGTAGTACTTTGGAAATGCTTTCTCGAACTTGCTTGTTAATCCTCTGGGCAACCTTTTTGGGCAGATGTTCATTGGTTGGCTGCTGTCCACGGTGAAGAAAACTCAGGCTGAGGGGCAAGTGGTGTTTCCAAGGTCACTCAGAGCCAGGGCCAGGTCCCAGTGCCTCCGCTCCACCTTGGCTACTGTCTCAGGATCTTGCCGGCTTTGGGTGAGCTGGCTGGTGAGGTGGAGGCAGGAGGACACAACAGAGCTGTTCCCTCTTCTTCAGGATCCTAGAGCTCCCGTCTGGTGGGTGGGCTGCCCTGGTGCCCCCACCTTATCTGGCCTTTGACCATTAGCCCCAGTCCTGTGCCTTCATGTTCCTGGCATGTCCACAGACTGCAGGCCACTCAGACTGGGCTGCTGCCAATGTTTGCTCTGATGTGTGGTGACAACAGCCGTCCCTGAATGAAGGAAACAGGCTGTCAGTTCTGCCCCAGCTGCCCAGCCCCTGCACCGTTGTGCTTGCCTCATGATTCTTTTGTGACCTCGTTCTGTGGGCTTTTTGATCGTGTTTCACCATGGATGTAACTGTGTGTGGTGTCTCGGGGCCTCGCTCCTGTGCCTGGCTTCTGTATCAGAGGGTGAAGCTCTCTGTAGGCAGCCCTGGTGCCTGCCTGCAGAGGAAGTGGGCCTGTTACTCCTGAGGACTTCCGTGGAGAAATGAGGGGCCTCCAGAGCATGCCTGGAGATAAACAGCTCGTGGCAGGGAGGCTGGGAGGACTTTTAGAAGTGGTGCCACACTTGTCATTGATGCTCCAGATGTGCAGGAACTGGGTCCATCCTTTGGCCGACATGGCATGTGTGTGAGGGCATCACCGTTGAATCTGGCATTTGTTGGTCCAGACCATGGGGTTGGGTGATGGGCTCCATGAAAACGAGGTCGCTCCAGGTCACCAAGCTGTCTTTCCAGGTTATCATCGCAGTTTTTTTTTTTTTTTAAGATTTAATTTATTTATTTGACAGAGACACAGGGAGAGAAGGAACACAAGCAGGGGGAACAGGAGAGGGAGAAGCAGGCTTCCCGCGGAGCAGGGAGCCTGATGCGGGGCTCGATCCCAGGACCCTGAGATCATGACCTGAGCTGAAGGCAGACACTTTGACGACTGAGTCACCCAGGCGCCCCCCCCCTTTTTTTTCTTTCTTAACTTTCCTTTTTAGATTTGCAAAAATGATATATGTGCACTTAAAAAAGGCCGTCCACCATCTCTTGGCGGCTCCCGACACTCCGGGTACATCTTGGTTGAAATACTCCGTTGTCCTTTATTAAGCATGGGGGCCGCAGTGGTCACTGTGAGGCCGGGCTGGCCCCTGGCTTGTGGGGAAGCCAGGAGGGGCTAAGGTAGAGGGGCTGCCCTATGTCCAGGGCTTTCTGAAATGCTCATTCTTCCCCTCATTTGTGTTGCTCCTTTGAACTGCAGAGACAGTGACACTTGGTGTGGAGTTGAATTAGGGCTCCCCAAACATCGTGGAGATCTCAGAAGAGTATCCCTGTAGAAAATTTGTCAAGGTGAAATGCCACTTGGTCAAAATGACGAAACACAGATTGTAGAATCCTCAGTTGCTGAGCTGGGAGGAGGGTGGGGTGTTGCAGTGGGCTGGCTGCTCAGAATATTTACAGACGTCAGGGCTTTCTCAGCCAAGGCCCCTGAACAGCACAGCGACACTGTGTTCCCATGTGTGTTTACCTCCTTTGCTGGCAGCTGCTGGGAGGACATTCCGCGTCAGGCGAAAAGAGCAGCGCATGCTTTCCAGCTCCGCCCCTGGGGGCTGCCACAGTGATCGCACAGGCTGCACTGGGTGAGGCTGAGGTGTCTGGCTCCTCAGCCCTGTCATGTGAAGCCCGAGGGCCCCTGTCCTCTGCATGGCTCCTCAAGACCAGATAGACAGGCTGGCAAGCCTTGAAAATATATTCCGAAATGTGTAAAGTGCTTGGAGCTGAAGATTCTCTGGTCCAGGTAACCTCTGTTCAGAGCCTTCACGTGCACAGCCAGCCGGTGGGAGATGGGTGTGATGTGAACTGGGAGCCTCACTTTCCGGGTGTCTAGGCCCTCTTGGCCCTGTGTGGAGGCCACAGTAGCTCCCCATTCATCGTGTGCATCCCTGTCATTCTTTGCTGCATTCTGACCTGGCATGTCTCTCCTCCACTGAGAGGCCTGTTTGCCTTTTCAATTGACAAAGTAAAGTGCTCCCACCGAGGGTGCAGGCCCCCTGCCCCTGGCACCCCAGTTCTCAGGTGTGGTTTTGCTCTCTGCTCAGGTGCTGGTGTCATTATGCAGAACTCTTCAAGAGGCCTGGCTCTGCTTTGAAGGGTTTGTACCAGGGCTGAGTGCACTCTTGCCCGGTCTTGCATGGATAACATCTTTTTCGGCCTTTCTTTTCTCCCTACACCAGCCTGCCCATAAGAGTGCACATAAAGCATGCCTGCTGTTAGTGTGCATGTGTTTTAAATATCCAGCTCCATGCGTTGTACAGGGAGCCCAGCCACACCACTAGCGTCCATATCAAGAAGGTGTGCTAGCACCCGGATGTCCCCTGTTCTCCAGACCAGGTGGCCCTGCCCTGAATTCTGCCCTCAGGGATGAGTTTTGCTTATTTCTGGCTTGGATACAAATGCTGAGGTGGTGTGCCGTCTCTGCCGTGGGGTTGCTGGGGAGCCGGGGCTCACTCAAGACTCACCTGCTTGCGGCGCTTCATGCTCAGTGCTGGGTGTGACTGGTGGTGGTGGCCCAGCACAATTCATTAGACTTTTAAAGAAGATTCTATGAATAGCCAAGAGGGAGACTTGTCCTTCAGATCCCAGAGCATGTGCTGAAGCTGAGAGGCCTGCCGAGCATGCCGGACCGCCATGGAGCCTGGTGACTGGGTGTCCAGGGTATGGCTGAGGTGGGACAGACCTGACTGACGCCTGGCACCTGGGAAGCAAGGGGTACCTCACACCACCCAACGGAGCAGGGCATGGGCTGACCTGAGAACTAAGCCAAAATACAACCATGCAAAGAAGGCAAGGGAAAGGGGCTTTCACTCTGGGGCACAGAGGGTGGCCACTATGCGGTAGCAATGGGAAAACTTGCGGTAAAGTAACAGACTGTTTCCGATAGACAGTGCCACAGGCAAGGCTGCAAGACAGGGCAGGCATGGGAGGAAATATCGGCAGCTGTGGATCAGACAGCCCGTGAGCCTGCCCACACCACGTGCACCACACTACAGATCAGTGCAGCAAAAGCCCAGGATTCAATACCCAAATCGGTGATTCGTGGATACAGGCAGGCAGGTGTCTGTAAGATGCGCAGCCCCTGGGGGTTGCCACTGTAACCATGGTGAGAGTGTTTCCTGCCACCCTGAGGAGGGCAGCAGCGGCAGGTTGTGGTGCTGGCGGAACGCCCCCTTGCCCAGCCACTGGTACCTGTACTGGATGTTTGGAGGGAGTTGGGCCAGGTCTGCTCACCTAAGAGCATCGTGCTCTGAGCAGCCATTCTGCCCCCTCCGTCTCTGTCCTAGGAAGATCCTCAGCCCATTTCAGAGCATGTGCTCCCACAGGAGCTGCTGGTTGTGGTCACAGGAGGCGTGTGGAGCCTTGGGCTGGGGATGGACGAGTGGGCACCAGGTGTGGGAGGACGGGTGGGCTGGGAGGAAGGGAAGTGGACAGGCCTTGGTGCAAACGCTGGAGGAGATGGTGCTTGTTGGTGTGGGGTGGGTGGCCGGCACAGTTGGTGTGCGATGCCCATTAGCCCCCAGGCAGGGTGGGCCAGCAGCTGGGTGGCATCTGGAGTGCACAAGAGGGAGATGGGGGTTGGTGACCACCCCCAGCACTGCTGAGGTCTCCCCATCCCCTGACCAGGTCCTTCCCCGTCTGGGCTAGCGGTGACAGTGAGGTCCGGTCAGCATGGCCCTTGGGCCCCACTTGCCTACTCTACCAGTGAGCCTCTGTGAAGTTGCAGACCTGCCCTCCCTGCAGCAGAAGCAGATCCTCACCTTTGGTCCATCCAGGTGCCAGGCCTTGTCCCCACATGGCTCTCACCTGAGCCACGGCAGCCTTCACCGCATCTCTTGGCACGTGGCTCTGACCACGGGCTGGTCTGCCTGCCTGCTTGAGTCATTTCCTCGTCATGCTCTTGTTAGACGCCGTGTGGACTGAGGTTTGAGGCTTGACTCAACTGAAGAGCCTGGCTATTCTGAAAGAGGGAGTGTACCTGGCTGCACTTGGCTGTTAGGACAGCCCTGTTGGCTCCTCTGGAAGACAGGCGAGGAAGAAGGAGGCCCCGGCTGGAGGGGGCAGATTTCAGAGGCAGTGGGGTGAGCAGGCAGGATGGAGCGTGCAGAGAATGCTCGAAAGCCTTAAAGCTTCCGTGCCCGTGCTGAGACTGACAGCTGGACTCATGACCCATTCTTCCAGTTTTGCATTACCACTGGTTAGAGCAGGGCAAGGCAGAAGTTGGGATCCAGGAAGACTTCCTCTGGCTTTCTCAGAGAGAAGAAAGAGAGGAAGAGAAGAAAGAGGCCCGTGGCTTTGGTTTGAAGGGAACTTTTTGCTTTTGCCTCACACCTCGTAGGTCCTTCCAGCTGGGGCTCAGGTGTGCCCAGGGACTGTAGGTGTGTGCAGGGAGTGCAGGCCCTGGGCTACACAGGTGGTTACCCTGGATCTGCCCGGGCTCCCGGTGCAAGGACCTGGCAGAGGTGCATGCTCAGGCTCGGGGAGGCCACCCCAGGGGACGCAGTGCTTCCTTCCACAGTGTGTCCTGGGCGGGCCAAGGACACAGCGGGCGTCCCAGCCTGAGTGAGCAGGTGTGAGGTGTGGTGTGGGTGTGCTGTCTTCATCCGTGCACGTACAGCCTCATGCACCTGCTTGGCCTCAGTCACAGTCCCTGGGTTGGGGGCCTTTGTTAGATGCCATCAGAGAGAACGTACTTCAGAGCTGCAGCCTTTCTGTTTCCCACAGGACTTCATGCGGGCCCTGTTCAATTGCAGAAACGTCCTGGGTAGTTTTTTTTTTTTACAACAGAGTCGTCACTGGGTCACGGAGGTCAGCTTTTTATGTGAAATCTTGGTTGTGACAAAGATTGCCTGGTTGCCGTGTGCAGCTACGAGAGACCGTGTGAGTTCTGGAATGTGGCGTCGCTAGGAAGCCATGGTGGGGATGCTCCAGAGGCTGGGAGCTTGAGTGACTGACTGCTGACGTCGCCTCCTCACCAGTGGGGCCCAGCCCCCTGGTTTTCTTTATGGAATAGTCCAGGCCATGGTAAGCGCCTCTTCGGGTACACACAGCGTGAAATGATATGCGCCCCCCCGCCCTCAGCCACTGTGCCATGCAGGTGTTTTGGGCACTTGTCAGGATGGTCGGCACCTCATAGGCTCCATTTTCCAGCCCCACTGCTCGCATGGCTTCCCCTCCTTGGTCTGGGCCACTGTCCGGGGTCTTCCATCCCTGTGGGCAGCTCCGAGGCCCGGCTGCACCCTTAAGGTTGTGGCATTTGTGAGACAGCACCCCTGGCGGGCCCACGTGTGGACATGGTGACGTTTCGTCAGGCTTTCCCAGGGTTGAGCGCTGAGAGAACAGTGAGGCCACCAGGGCTACTGCAGTGGGCATGTTGGCTTCTTAGCGTTTCCATGATGGCGCCGGGGGCAGTGGTTTGTGGATGTGCCAGGGTGGTGTCGGGGTGCAGTGCTGGGGTTATCCTGGCCTTCTGGGGGGGGGGTTCTGGGAGCAGATGCAGGGTCGGGAGGCTCACTTGGTTCTAGCAGCCTGCATGTGCCTGCTCCTCTCTGAGTGCAGCCAGCAGGCACCCCCCACAAGCGCACTGCTGAAGCTCCCGGGGAGAGGGGAATCACCCCTGTGAAGCTCCTGGCTTGGGAAAGTTTTCCCCAGCTGGCCTGTCCTCTGCTCTATGGCAGCGGGGGCCCGGCCTTCTCTGGGTCTGTGTGTCACCCTCCCAGAGAGCCAGATTCTGTGGCACCTGCCCCTTTTTGGCGGGGGTACTCTTTTCCATGTGCTGGGTTACCCGGCTGCCCTCCTGGTTGCTGTGAGGCCAAATGAAGGAAAAGGAGGGAAAGTGAGCCCTTGCCAAGTGAAAAGGATGGGTCTGTGACATTTAAGTGCCATCCGCAAGCCTGGGGGTGGGTGTGCACATCACCATTGTAGCCTCCTTCGCCTGCTGGGGCCCACAGCATCCTGGGAGCAACAGGCAGAGGTGGGGTGCGACTTCCTTCAATGCTTGGATGCTTCACTACCTTAAGGTGTCCCCGCCGAGGTTGCCAAGGTCCATGGGTGAGGTTCCTGATCAGACCTCCCCAGGACCTTCCTGCCTGTCTCTTCCTCTAGCTGTGGGCTGGCTCTGGCTTGGGGGCTGCCATGGGCATGCAGACACTCCACGGAGGGCCTGGGCTTGCATTCCTGGTGGAGGTGGGGACAGGGGCCGGGGATGTCACTGAGGAAGCCAGGCACGCTTTTGCCCGGGACGCGATCCTCCCTTACGGACTTTATCACCCCGGGTGTCCTTCAAGGGTGAGCTCCCCATGACAAGCAGAGAAGCCACCAAGCATGGAAGTGGGGGCCTATAGAAGCCCTTCCCCATCTCTTTCCCACTGTGCCAGCCTCGGAACCCTGGGAAGTGGAGAGCAGTGTTTTCTTAGTGCCCCAAGTGGCCAGGCAGGCAGGTGTGCAATGGCCCGAGCAGGACTCAGTTTGCCCCTGTTAGCAGTTCCAGCCTCCTGCCCGCCCTGTGTCCAGCCTGCGGGACAGTGACTGGGAGCACAGTGGCTGTATCTGGAGCTCGCTTGGGGAGCCCTGAAAGTCAGCAGGAGTGAGAAGGTGGCCCAACAAGTAGGGTGTCAGGGAGGATTTCACTAGGGCCTGGGTGGGGGAATGCTGGGAGAAGGGCCCTGCACCCATGGGACCTGCCTAGGTGAATGAGATTGCGGGGGTGGTGGGACGTGGAGCTGAGAAGGGGTGGGGCAGTGGGCAGCGGGCCTGGCTTGAGTGGGGGGCGAGGGATTGGAGAGAAAGGCAGTTCCTGATGGTCCCCTCCCCAGGGGCTGGCTTTCCTCTGGTCCTTCCCTCCCAATGACCACGTCTTCATCGAGACCGCAGCCCTGGGCTTTGTGCCCACACCTCTGGCGCCAGGCTGCCTGGAGACCCATCAGTGGCCTTTCCTCCCAACCACAGAGCCCTCTCTGCTACCCCTGTCTGGAGGGCAGGTCTGCCACCCACACAGGCTGGCTAGGATGGCGAGGTCCTGCAGCCAAGTTGGAGGGCTCTGCTTCTGGCTTGTGAGCATCAGTCGCCAGAGCTGCCCCCAGTGGATGGCCTTGCCCAGCAGCTGGGCACGCAGCCCGGAGAGGTGCACAGCAGGCCAAGGCCTACATGATGGCCTCTTCTGACAACCCAGAGCTGCATGTCCTTGGTGGGGCAGCATGTCCCTGGTGGAGCAATCCTCACAACAATCCTCTGTCCTGGTAGGGCTCTGGGTGGGTGGGATTTCAGAAGTGATGGGTTGGCAGGGCTTCTCCCATTGACCATGTTTGGCCTGGTTGCCACAGGCAGTGCCGGTTGGCCTCTCCTGCAGTATTCTCATTTGTGGGAGAGACTAGCTCCCTGGGAGTGAGAGGCCTATGTCTTCTGTGCTGGACCATGGCCCTGTGGCAGGTTCCCATCCCCTGCACCTGGCGGGTGGGGCCCCTCTCGGCCCACTCCTGCTCCTCCCACGCCTGAAGTACCCTCCCCCCCACCTCCGTGTGGCTTCTCCAAGGCTTGGGGGCAGAGGGTTTGGAGTGGCATGGTGTTCGTGGTTTATGTTGAAACCTGGAGCAAAGATGGGCAGGGTCTGGGCATCTCATCCCACCTTCTCCCAGCTGGGGCCCAGTTCACAGACCCTCTTTACAGATGCAGGTCCCAAACCTTGCTCTAGTAGGTGCTGTGTTCTGGGAGGGTACTGCACGGACCCTCCCCAGTCTCAGGGCTCCCCAGGCTAGTGCACTTGGAGCTCAGTGGACACAGAGTCACACACATGCATGCAGACATCTGCGGAAGCACACACACACAAACACCCACACCTGACTATACACTCACACATGCATGCAGACCTCAAGGTACATGCACATACGCCGAACACTCCCTCACCCCCCTTGCTTCTGAGGCTCTTCTGGGGGCATCTTTTTGGCTTCCTTCAGTACCTCCACAGCCTCTGTGTTGTCCATTCCCTGGCTGTGGCTGCTGGCTCTGCCCTGCAGCCGTGCCCTGGCTCAGGCACACATGCAGGGCTAGAGACCCTCAGTCACCTTGTCCAGGGTCAGTGGCCTCAGGATTTCATCTCTATTCTCAGCTCAGTTAGGGGAAAAGATCTGCTGGCCCTATAGAGGCCGCCAGGTTCTCGTTCTTGCTCCTGTGGCCACCCTCCATGTGGTGTGTCCAGGGCCAGTGAGCATTGCAGGCAGCGGGGGACAGTCTGGCCCGTGCTGATGTGTGTGAGCACTTAGGGAGATGGTTGGGTGGTGCTGGTGAGCGTCACGGTGTCTGGTGTATGGTTCTGCCATGTCCGCAAGGGTCAGGGGCATCCCAGAGGCAGTTCTCTTCTGGGCCAGGGAGCATTGCAGGTTCGGGGAGGCAGTGGTGTGTTGTCTGCTGTTTATTCAACACATTTTTTTTTCCTTTTCCCGCAGACTGGTGACCCTGTGTGAACAAAGCTGCTCTCAGGGACCCATGTGCATCATCTTCTTTAAGTTCGATCCTCGCCCTGTTTCTAAAAATGCATACAGGTAACCCCCTTGCTCTGTGTCTGTTGTCCTCCGCTTGGCCTCGGGTGCCCCACAGTCCTCATAATACCCTACAAGCTGTACAGGCTGGGCCTGCCCTGTCCAACAGCAGTTATTCAGTGTGGGGTGCAGCAGTGGGTACCGCCCTGTGGCAGGAACGCTGAACTGACATACGAAGGTGCAGAGGCTTAGCTGCTTAAGGTCGCTGGAGGGGCAGGACAGAGGAGCCATGTTGGGCCAGGTAGGGGTGCAGCCCTGTGGTTTCTGCAGGGGTGCCAGGGGCAGCAGAACTGGCTTGATGAGCAAGAGCCCCATTTAGACTGGGCTCCTCTGTGTTGCCAGTGGTAAGTCTGGGTGGTGGTGGCAACACAGGGTCTGTAGGTCCTGAGCGGGGGAATGGGGGTGGGGGTGGGGAAGCTGGGAGACCAGCAGAGGTGGGAAACAGGCCAGAGAGGGATGAGACATGATCCAGTGCACCCCCCTCCTCCCCACGACCTTGGGCTCTGGATGTGCCCCTCTGTTCCCTGGGGCACCCACTGGGAATTTTTCCGTGTTTTTCCAAGTATGAGGCTGAGAGGTAACCCACAACCAAAATGACATTTTAAACTGATCACTAGTACGATTGCTTGGAAAGTTTTCATCATTTTGAAATCTATACCAGAAATGATATGAGCCATTTTGATTAGCTTCTTAGACTTGAGTCACCGTGCAAAATTGCACAGACACCATGATGCCTAATTTCGTGCAGAATGAAACTCATTCCAGGCCAGGGGTTGGGGACTGAAGAGTCCCCAGTGTTCCCATCATGCAGAGGAATGGACAGCAGGGCCAGGCCAGGGTCCTGGAGCTGACCCCGCACGACCCCCAGCAGAATGAGCTGGGGTGCAGCCAGTGGGCAGAATCCAGGGGCAGTGATTTGAGCAGGGGAAGTGTAACATCCGGAATTATTAACTGTTAACAGGATTGGAATGGCCTGGGTGGAACCCCGTCTTCCACCCTCAGGCTGAGAGCCAGACCTTGCCGGAGAGGTTCAGCCGCGGCACACCGGATAGCAAAGAAATCGCTGGGGTGCCACGGCAGCAGAACTTGCTAGGAGTCTGCCCTCCCGTGTGCTGGCAACTGTCGCGGGAGGATATTGGGGGGAGGTGCTGGCCACTGGGTGCGTGGGGGAAGCCGCATGTGTAACCGGACTCATCCTGGGGGAGCCGGGCACATTGCCAGGTGTGTCCTGCGGTGTCTCTCCGGCGCCCTCTACTGACGAAACTTAATATGGTACTAGCCCCAAAGTTCAGCTGCTTTATCATGAGGAGGCAGTGAAGGGCAAATTTGGGGCTGAGACCTAATAGCTGGATTACTGACACGGTCTACCCCTTTGGCTACTGAGGTTTCATGTGCACCCTTCTATGCTCACATGAACTCTCACGCACCAACAAAATGACTCTGTTTTGACCTGGAGTGAAGGATTTCTCACACGGGGACACGCAGCCTCACAATTCCTGAGTCTGTTGCTGGCTATATTTACTACCAGATTCAGCCGCAGCCTCCCTGGAAATGTTGTTTCTCGAGGTTACCTCCAGTCTTCTGCCAGTAAAATAAACATGGGAAGAAGGAGGAAGGAGCTGTCTTGCTTTCGCTCGGGACCTGTGCGTCACTGCCAAGACCTCTCCTCATAATGACTCCCAGTGGATTGTGATTTGAGACAACCTTAGTGTTTCTCTCCAGTGTATTCCAAAGCCCTAAGCCAAAAACTAAACATACCACTGCTGGTGACTGACTGAATACACTTGTTGTTTACCCTATTGCGTGGGGGGGGGGCAAGAGGGACTTCCGGTAGCTGCTCCTACTCTAGCTGTGGGGTTGTCTGGCCCTTGAGAATGGGTGGGCTGTGGGCCCTTGGTATTCATGCTTCCGTACGTGTGTGGTGGAGAAAAGGACGGGAGGAGCAAGGAGGGGGCCACATGGGAGGGACACTGCAGCAGGGCCAGTGAGGAGAGGCCAAGCCTGGGCCTGTCAGAGATTGGAGAGGGGTTCCCAGTACCTAGAGTGGAATGGGGAGCAGGCCAGGCTCCAGGGCCATCAGTGTGGTGGGGAGGAGGCCCTGGCTAGGCAGTGCTGCCAGGAGCCAATGGGGCCAGCAGGACCTGCCCCAGCGTCCCTCACTTGGGCTCCCTCCTGCTTTAGCCATCCCTGTCCTGGCCTGGGATGCACCAGCCTCTGCCTGCCTGCGTTGGCATGCACTGCTGTGTCTTCATCTCCCACCCCCAACCTAATAAATGGCAGGAATAGGAGTGTGTGCCATTGTAACCATTGACAAGTGTCCAGTTCAGTGGCATTAAGTACATTCACGTCGTTGTGCAACCATCCCCACCATCCATCTCCAGAACTCTTCATTGTCCCCAGCTGAATCTCTGTCTCCACCAAACACTGACTTCCGGTTTCCCTCCCCCCAGCCCCTGGCAACCACCAGTCTACTTGGTTTCAATGACCTTGACTACTCTGGTGAATCGTAGTATTTTTGTGTGACTGGCTTATTTTATTGAGCATAGTGTCCTCAAGATCATGGTGTAGCATGTGTCAGAATCTCCTTCCTTCTTAAGGCTCAGTAACATCCCACTGTATGCAGGACCACATTTGTATCCATTCATCTCTTGATGGACACTTGGACTATTTCCACTTCTTGTCTATTGTGAGTCCTACTGCCGTGGAGATTAGCATACAAGTGTCTGTTTGAGTCCTGCTTTCCATTCTCTTGGGGGTATACCCTGAGGCAGAATTGCTGGATCATATGGCAGTTCTGTTTTCGACTTTCTGAGGAACTGCCACATTGTTTCCCGCGAGTGTCTTTCGATGGTCGTGCCATAGGCTTCTCGAGCCATGCCAGCCCATGTATCCGTTTGGTGGCGGAGTATGTCTTCACGGTGTGTCATCATTGTTCATTGTCCAGACCAAGTTCTCTCCCACCAAGCCAGACAAGCCAGGTGCCAGGGCCACCATCCACTTGGACTCTGCTGCCCACCAAGCTGGTCCACATGGCTGGGGCCCATCGAAGACCCTGTGCTCCGTGTGCTCTCTTAGGCACCCTCAGTATCATCACACGTGCAGTGGCCTCTTGGCACTTGGGGTAATGGGAAGCACCTGGTTTTGTTTGTGGGTTGAGTTCATCCCTGCAGTCATTGCTGCTCCAGGGTCAGATGGTTGCGAAGGGGACTTTTATAGCTGGAATGGTGGCCATCCTTGCCATGGAAAGTTGACCTTTGAACAACATGGATTTGAACTGTGCAGGTCCACTTACATGCTGATTTTTCTTTTTAAGATTTTATTTATTTATTTGACAGAGAGAGACACAGCGAGAGAGGGAACACAAGCAGGGGGAGTGGGAGAGGGAGAAGCAGGCTTCCCGCTGAGCAGGGAGCCCGATGCGGGGCTTGATCCCAGGACCCTGGGACCATGACCTGAAGCCGAAGGCAGACACTTAACAACTGAGCCACCCAGGCGCCCTGACATGCTGATTTTTTAAAGTATAGTACGATAAATGTATTTTCTCTTCCTTATGATTTTTTTTTAAGATTTTTAATTTTTTTTCAAGTAATCTCTACACCCAGTGTGGGGCTTGGACTCACAACCCTGAGATCAAGAGTCATGGGTTCCACCGATGAGCCAGCGAGGCGCTCCTCTTTATGATTTTCTTAATACTGTTTTATTTTTCTCTAGCTTACTTTATTGTAAAAAATATGGTATGTGATACACATAATATACAAAATACATGTGAATTGAAATGTTTATGTTATTGGTAAGGTTTGTGGTGAACAGTAGGCCAGTACTAGTTAAGTTTTGGTGGAGTCAAAAGTTATACATGGATTTTTTGGGGAGCCTGGGTAGCTCACTCGGTTAAGCATCTGCCTTTGGCTCAGGTCATGATCCCAGGGGGCTCCCTGCCTAGTGGGGAGCCTGATTCTCCCTCTCCCTCTGCTGCTTCCCCTGCTTGTGCTCCCCCCTCCTCTCTCCCTCTCTCTCGGTCAAATGAATAGATAAGATCTTAAAAAAAAAAAAGTTATACCTGGATTTTTGACTCTGCGGGGAGGGGGGTTGGTGCCCTTAACACCTGTGTTTAAGGGTCAGCTGTCTATGTAAATTATTTAAATATCTGTCTGCCCTACAGAAAAGAATGAGACATCCTCACCTTTGATGCTGTGGGCAGTGTCACCCATGGCTCTGTCATTGCCAGATGCTGATCTCACAGGAATGTGTTTTCTGACCTCCCAGGAGTCAGTTCCTGGAAGATGAGCCTGTCCCTGTCATGCCCTGCCTGGGACCGGCCCAGTGATGGTGGCGCTTGGTCTGTGCCTGCCACTTTGCAGGCCTGCTGGTGAAAGGCACGGCTCCTGAAGCATCTCTTCTCTTGGGCCTCGTTCAAGCATCGTATCATCTGTTTCCCCACGAGAGAAAGTATAGCCCACTGCGGAGCCAGCATCTTGTGGTCTCTTCCCCCCAGATTTAGCAGTCACAGTGTGTTGCTGAGTGACGCTCACCGGGTGCAGGCAAGGAGGGAGCCAGCTCAGCACCTGCCCAGGGAGTGAATGTGAGCATGGCCATTTCTGCAGAGAATCTCCAGGCCTGACGCTGGGCTAGGCCCTGGTGTCATGGATCCCATGGTCTACACCTCCCATCCCCCATGTCACCATCCCACTGCCCCTCGCTGTTGGGGATACCCATCCCTCCAGATGTGGCAGTGGTCCCCAGGTCACATCCCACTGCTGCGTCCCCGCAAGCACTGCCCTGGCATGACTCCCCAAATGCCCTCAGGCCTCCCCATCTGTCTTCTTGGTGCTGAGCTGGCCCTGGTAAGGTGGGCTCCTTGGGTGTCGCTCCTCCTGGGGTTGCCTGTGGCATGAGGCATCATGGCCCCTGCCCAGATGTGGGATTCCCCTGGGTGATCCCAGCCTCTGCCTCCCATGCCTGTTGTTACCTGGCACTTGGAACCTCCAATTTTTGGTGATGATTACCCAGTGTAAGTACTGTCTGGGCGCCTGTTGGTTCTGTTCGTTTTAAATTTTAGTACGGATATCTGCAGCACTGAGGCAAGGAGTGTAGCAGATAAGAAATTATTTTAGCAGTCTCTGAGATGCTGACTTAGAACTTTTCCGTGCTGCAGCTTTGCCCCGGAATCCTAGTGACCTTGCTCTGTAGAGGCAGTGGCGTTTCCCTGGGATTCTACTTATTTCCCTGATTGTAAAGGGGTACATGCTCTTTGAAAAAAAGTCATACCCTACAGGATGTACAAAGTAAAATGTGAGCTCCCGTAACCCCTGTGGTAGGCTGATGGCTCCCAAGATTCCTGCCCCCGCTATACACACCAATGTCATTCATTCCCCTGGTTGTGTGTGGGGCTGTGGGGCTAAATGTGAAGGGATTTTACCAATGTGACAAAAGTCCCTAATCGGTTGAGTTGGAGTTAGTCAAATGGGAGCAGTCCTGGGTGGGTCTGACGTAATCAGGAGAGCCCCCAGGTGGGGCCAAGCCCCTTCCTGAAGAGGTAAGCTGCTGTGCTTGGAGGGGCCCATGGCCAGGAACTGGGGGTGGCCTCTAGGAGTTGAGAGTGACCCCGGCCTAGGATGGGAATTCTGCAGCAACCTCAGGAACATAAGGAAGATGACGAACCTCAGCGACACCGACACCCTGCTGGGCGGCACCTCGGGTGCTACCTCAGGGGCCGCTGAGCAGAGCACCCAGCACATCCCAGCCTGCGCTCCTGACCACGGACTGAGATGAGAAGTAGGCGTCGCTCTAAGCCACTGTATACGCACACTTTGTGTGTGGCAATCTGTGGGGCCCCATAGAAAACCAGTATGCTTCCCATCAAGTAGCACTGTCATGGCTGTCATATAACCACCATCTTTATCAAAATGTCTGTGTAGACTCATGAGCTGATTCCCCTTGTTGGCTCCAGTCTGGAGGACCTGCTGGGCGAGCTGTCACATCCTTCTGGTGGCTTCCACGGGACTCATCACTGCTGGTGACATCACTGGGCCATGGGCCTGTGCACCTGCTATTTGGCGCTAAACTCTCCCCAGATGGTGCACAGACTTGCCCCTCAGATGGTGCAGAGATACCCCACACCATAGTACACAGATTCACCCCCCCGAAATGGTGCCCTGACTCACCTTCTAGACGACACACAACTCACCTGCCAGATGGTGCACACGCCTACCTCCCCCAGATAGTGCACTGACTCACTGCCTAGATGGTATACAGACGCACCCTCCCAGATGGTGTGCAGACTCAGCCATCCCAGATGGTACACACTCACTCCCCAGATGGTGTGCAGACTCCGCTATCCTAGATGGTGTGCAGATTCACACTCTCAGGTGGTACACAGACCTACCTAGTACCTCCAGACAGTGCACAGACTCACCCCCAGTAGCAGGGTGAGGAGTGCCCATCGATGAGTAATTAGTGGTTTCAGTTATTAGAACAAAACAAACCTGACTTGCTGTCCTCAGAGCCCCTGACTGGTGGGCATGGCCCCTGCCCCTGGGCGCTGTGGCACAAATGGACTTTTATTGGTGTTGCAGTACCCGGAAGTGGTGAGTGAGGGAATACTTTCTCTTACTTGGAGCCTTGATGTGGGTACTCATCATGCCCACATGTCTCCCAATTAGGTATTTAATGAAATCCCCAGCAAACCACTAGCAATTCAGCTAAATAGTGACTCTTGTGGCAGAAATAACTGAGCAGTTATTAATATTCCTAGTTATTAACAAATGCGTGTCACTGCTCCTTGTTTTAAAAATAGTAGGGAGTTGAAAATCTTAGGACAGAAGGTTCTGCTCAGTCAGCTTTTTTTTTTTCTCCCTAAGTTTTCCTTTTCTGGAGACTTACCTAAGAATCAGAACCAGAAGTCAATAGCACCAGTCTCCATTTGGGAAGCACCTCCCCGGCCTCCCCGGCCCCCCCGACCCCTCTCAGCACAGGTGTCAGGATGAGTGAGCAGAGGAGTGGTGCTGGGGGTCAGAAGGTGGACACTGTTTTATGACTACGTGGAATGACCTCCACCCACAGGGGTTGGTGGGGTGCCCGGCCCATACACGCAGCCTGTGGGAGCAGTGCTAGCTGGGTTGGGTGCAGAATTAAGTCGCAGAAGGAAGGGACAAAGCAGATGTGGCAGAAGATAGAGGTCAGGGCCCGGCTGGCTTCTTCCTAAGGCTGTCTTCCTCAAACCGGGGCTGGGGTCCAGCAGGTGGAGCTGCAGAGGATTGTTCTGTGAATGGCTGGGTTTCGTATCAGGGACAGCGACTCCTCCCTAAGTGCCTGTCCCTGAGACCTGGAGCAGCCTGGAGTGCTGTGTCTGGGGGGATAGAGGGCTGCCGCAGCCTGGACAGGTGTCCCGAAGGTGGTGAGACTCCCAGGGCAGATCTGGAGGGTTTGATGGCCACCGCCAGGCCTTGGCCATGTTGGTGCCTGTGGCTGGGGCTGCGTGGGGAGGTACAGATTTGGGGGTGGGGTGGCTACCACACGCTGTGTGCACAGGATGAAAGTGCTTCTGTGGGCCTGGGCAGTGGTGCGGGTGCCAGTTTCACTTTCAGTTTTATAAACTTTGTTAACTCACATTTTACCACAAGCAAATGTCCATAAAAATCTTATTTTTTTTTTTAAGGTTTTGTTTGTGCGAGCCGGGTGGAGGTACGGAGGGAGAGGGACAGGCGGACTCTCCGCTGAAGCAGGGAGCCCGATGTGGGACTTGATCCCAGGACCCTGGGATCATGACCTGAGCCGAAGGCAGACACTTAACTGACTGAGCCACCCAGGCGCCCCTAAATGTTCATAAAAATCTAAGAGTCAATACAAAAATTATTTTTGAAGACTCCTTAGGATCTGACCACTGACTAGACTGACTTGGTTTCAGACCCAGTGTAACCACAGGCGGCCAAGCCGTAGCTCCTGGCCCTGTGTCCTTTGCGCACCTGCCCGTGGTGCTCAGAGGTTCCTTTGGCTGTTGCTTCTTAGACCCAGAGGTCTCATGGACGTGGCAGCCACACTCAGTCACAGTCTGTGTTCTTATTTAAAAGGGCAAAGCCCACTAGAAGCTTTGTTTTCTTTTTTTTTAAAGATTTTATTTATTTATTTGAGAGAGAGAGAGAGAGAGAAAGAAACAGCATGAGAGGGGAGAGGGTCAGAAGGAGAAGCTGGATCCCTGCTGAGCCGGGGGCCTGATGCAGGACTCGATCCCAGGACTCCGGGATCATGACCTGAGCCGAAGGCAGTCGCTTAACCAACTGAGCCGCCCAGGTGCCCAGAAACTTTGTTTTCTTATGTTAAAACTAGAACTCTTTTGAAAACGTTGACATCTTCTCTGCTTGCCAACAAAAAACTTGTTGGATTCATAATGCAAAAAACTAGAGAAACACAGAAGTTCTTACCCACTTCCTTCCCCCAAACACCCCAAAACACAGGACAGCAGCCTCCAGAGATCCTGTGCTCTGCCGCTGCTCCACATGTCCCCAGGGCCCTTCTGGTGGGCCTGCTCACATTTCTAGGAAGTCACGGGCTCACTGGGGATGGCCTCGGGGGAAGGGACAGATGGGCAGAAGGGGTACTTCTCTGCCACCGGCGCACCTGGGACATGCCTGTGCAGGTCCTGCTGCTCTTTTTGGATAAGTGGGGTATGCAAGGTGGGATGGGATATGTGTCTTTGCCCAGCATCGCCTGTCTGTCAGGGTCAAGGTCCTGGGGCACAGTCTTTGCTGAAGTCTCCCTAGGAAACCCACATGTCTGGCGCCATCACTGACCTTTGTCTCCTGAGGGTTCCTGTCCTCTTTAGGACTTGCCTGTGTTGCTAACGGAGGCAAATTTTCTTTGTTAACAGGAGAAAAAATTGGCTTTTCTGTTTTCCCCTGAGACCTTTAGTCATGCTTTCTCTTTCAGGCTCATCCTGGCGGCCAACAGGGATGAATTTTACCACAGACCATCCAAGCTAGCTGACTTCTGGGGGAGCAACAATGAGGTCCTCAGTGGTGAGTCTTTCTTCGGGGGGGCAGCCACAACATGGCAGGAAGTAGGAGCCCCAGAGTGCTTTTAACTGTTAGTGGTACTGCCTCTCAGTGTAAGTGCAGAATGAAGGAGTGGACACTGACTGGTCTCATGGGGGAGGCTCCCAGGTTGGGGTCTGGGGCCAGCATTGAGGTGACCAGCCCCGAAGTGTCTACCCAACACCATCCACGTGGTTTCATGTGTTGTGGGTTCCCAGAGAAGGAGCTGGAAGGATCAGTTGGTTTTATTTGTATCCACCTTTTCGCTGTGCGCGTGTGGTTGGGTTTGTATGAGGTGCAGGTTCACAATCAGTCACTCTGTGAAGCATCGTAGTTTGTGTGTGTGTGTGTGTGTGTGCGTGTGCGTGCGTGTGTGTGCGTGCATTCATGCAGACGCGCGCGCACACACATTTCTCTTTACACACCAGCACGCCTCGCTCCAGAGATGGTCTGGATTTGGGGAGCAGAGGCTTGGTTGGAGCACATTCAGATGGGAGCTGCATGAGGAGTTCCCACAGAGGGAGACAGAAGCGGAGGTGACAGCTGTGTCCCCTGCTAGCTCAGCGGGCAGCCTCCCTGAGCCCGGTGGACAGAGAGCAGTTTCTGCCCATGGGGTGGACAGGGGTCTACTTGAAGGGCACGTGGATAGGTGTTGGCCAGGCCAAGGTCCCTCTGCCTGCGAGCTAGGTATCAGGGAAGCACAAAGGAGCCTGGCAGGGCTGACAGGGGTGCTCAGGTGCCCAGTGGGCTGAGTGAATGGCCTCAGGGTTCTGGGGACACCAGGTGTGCCCTGCTTCGCCTGCAGCATCTAAAAGCTTGCCTGGAACTTATACAGAAGGCCTCCTGTGTAGACTGGTTGCGCGTTGGTGTTAGGAAAACACTGCCCAGGCTGGATTGTTCTGGTGCCGTGTGGGAAGAGGACAGGAGTGGGGGAGACTGAGGCAGGGCAGTGTCGTGGACAGGAGGTCTGGCAGGTGGTGGGGAAAGCTGTTGTGAGCCTGTGGGATGAGACCCCTCTCACTGAGAGCGAGAGGGAGAAGAGGCTAGGTCTCTGGGTTATGTCTTGGCCTCCTCAGAAGCTGCACGGGAGACCTCGGAAATGTCTAGATGTGCAGACAGAAGTGGGGGGCCAGGGACCCCTGTTGTGTAAGCTCCAGGTACTTCACTACAGTAACCCCAGGGGGGCCATGTATGTGGGGTCCTTGGCTGGGCCAGCCATGGCTCTCCCAGGGGTCGAGGGTCAGGCCTGCAGGGCAATGTGAGGAGGGCTGAGGAGAGCCTGTGGGCCTGGCCAGTACCATGCCAACCATCCTGAGCTAGAGTAGAATGGAAGGGGGTCATGAGGATGGGGCAGGCTGTGTGTGTTGCTGCTGCAGGGCATGAATGGGTGGCTGTAGTGGCGTCGGGGGATGGGGACTGGTCAGGGTGGGTGGGGTGAGGGGTGAGGGCCTGATGGCACTTCTTGAGTTTTTTTGTAGAACAGGGCACAGATGAAGGGTTAGCCTGTTTGGGCTCCTTTGGCCATCCTGGCCACCTGGGCTCCATGCTGCTTAGGCACTCAGGCCTGCACCCTGCCCCTAAATCAGGGCCAATCCCTGCTGAGGGGTTCCAGCCACTTGGAATCCTTCACCCTTTGTAGTGATTTGGAGTTGGTCTCTGGCATGCTGATACGGAGCTCCTGCCTAGTGGGAGGGTGGCCCTGCTGCATGACAGTGCTGGGTGGGCCCAGTGGCCACTGCACCCGTTAGGGCTGGAAGACACTAAGATCCACATCCTCCCACCATCTGACATACCAAATTGTGTGCAGAATTGTAGGCCAGTGGTTCTCCAAATGCGATCTGTGAGCTAGTAGCATCAGCATTGCTTGGGAACTTGTTAGAAGTTTGGAAAAATTCGGGTATTATTTTTTAAAATATTTTTTCTGTCTCCTGCTCTCTCTTCTTGGTCTCTTTCCCTCTCTCTGCCTATTCACACATATATTAGTTTTCTTGAGGTTGTCCCACACTTTGATGATGCTCGGTTCATTTTATTAAAAGATTTTATTTCTCCGTTTTTTAGAGAGAGTGTGCACACGGGTGTGCATGAATGAGGGGAGGGGCAGAGGAAGAGAGAGAATCTCAAGCAGATACACTGCTGAGTGCAGAGCCTGACTCGGGGCTCAGTCTCACGACCCTGAGATCATGACCTGAGCCAAAATCAAGAGTCAGACACTTCACCGACTGAGCCACCCAGGCACCCCTGATAATGCTCAATTCATTTTTAAAAACCCTCTTTTCTCTCTGTTTTATTTTAGATCATTTCTATTGCCATAACTTCACATTCACTAATCTTTCTGTGGTGTCTAATCTGCTTTTAACCCCATTGTATATGTTTTTTCTCTCACACATTGTAGTTTTTATCTCTAGAAATTCAATTTTTCTATCTTCTTTGTATGTTCTTAACTGTTTTAGCATACAGAGTATAGTTTTAGTAGCTGTTTAAATATCCTTGTCTGTAAAGTCTGATGTCTGTGTCAGTTCCAGTTCAGTTTGACTAGATTGATTGAACTTTTAGTAAGCAGGGTCATGTTTTTCTGCTCCTTTGCATGCTTGGTAATTTTTGATTGGATGCCAAACATTTATGGGTTTTATCTTGTTGGGGACTGAATATTTTTGTATATCTATAAATATTCCTGCGCTTTGTTCTGGGACACAGTCAAGATGCTCAGAAACAGTTTGATCCTTTCAGGTCTTGCTTTTAAGATTGGTTAAGTGGCTCTGAAGCTATGCCCAGTCTAAGGCCAATGATTCCCTACTCCTCAGGCAAGATCCTTCTGTCTTCCCTTGCCTTTGCTCCTTGGATCTTGAGGTTTTCCAGGCTGACTTCTAGGAACAGGCACTATTCCCAGCCCTGCGTGAGCACTGTCTCCTCTAATCTTCCTGGATGGTTCTTTCCTGGCCTCGGGTGGTTTCCTCACGCACACGCACCGATCAGCTGCCTGGGGCTCTGTGCGGCTCTCTCCTCTCTGGTCCTCTGTCCCGGGAGCTCTGGTCTCCTCAGTCTCCCCAAAATCCCAGCCCTTCTCCTCAGCCAGGGAGTCCGGTGGACTCTGCCTGGGTCTCCTCCCCATGCAGTGTCCTGGAGACTCTCTCCAGTCTTGGGGTTCGCCTAGTTTATTTCTTGTCTCAGAGATCTGTGTCCTTTGTTTTTTGATGTCCAGTGTCTTGAAACGCATTGTTTCATGTTATTTTCTTTTGGTGGTTTTAGGTAGGAGAGTAAATCTGGTCCCTGGTGATTGGCCAAATATGGAATTCTTGTTTACTGTTCAGTGCTTGATTTGTAGGAGTTTTTTATGCATTCTGGATCGGAGTCCCTTGTTGGATAAATGTATTGCCTCCTCATTTTCTTTTTTCTTTTTTTTTTTAAATTTTATTTATTTATTTGACAGAGATAGTGAGAGAAGGAACACAAGCAGGGGGAGTGGGAGAGGGAGAAGCAGGCCTCCCGCGGAGCAGGGAGTCTGATGCGGGGCTCGATCCCAGGACCCTGGGACCATGACCTGAGCCGAAGGCAGACGCTTAACGACTGAGCCACCCAGGCGCCCCGCCTCCTCATTTTCTTAATGACATTTTCTGGTGAGCAGAATATTTTCTTTTAGTGAAGTGAAGTTTACTCTTTTATAGTTTATTCTGTTTGTGTCTTTGCCTACCCTAAAGCCATAAAGATGTTTTCCTCTTTTTGCTTCTAGAAGCCTTTTGATTTGGCGTTTTGTTTTTAGGTCTATGATTTATCTTACATTTTTGTACTTGGTGTGAGGTAGGGGTTGAAATTCATAATCTCAAGTTCTCCCAGCCTTATTTATTGAATAGATAACTCTTTTGCCTATTGCATTCCTATGGCAACGTGGTTGAAAATCAGTTGAACACACGTGTGTGGATCTATTTTGGACTCCTTTGTGTGCCATTGATCTGTTTGTCTGTCTTGATGCCAACATCACACTGTATCGATTGCTGCAGCTTTTTTAGCAATTTTTTTTTTAAAGATTTTATTTATTTATTTGACAGAGAGAGAGAGACAGTGAGAGAGGGAACACAAGCAGGGGGAGTGAGAGAGGGAGAAGCAGGCTCCCCGCGGAGCAGGGAGCCTGATGTGGGGCTCGATCCCAGGACCCTGGGATCATGACATGAGCCAAAGGCAGCCGCTTAACGACTGAGCCAGCCAGGCGCCCCTTTTTTAGCAAGTTTTGAAATCAAGTGGTGTTAAGTCCTCCAGCTTTGTTCTATTTCAGGACTCCTTTGGCCATCCTGGCTCTTTTGTGTGTGCATATAAATTTTAAAGTCAGGTTGTTAATTTCTATAAAATAGAAAAGCTTCCTGGGATTTGGATTTGGATTGTGTTGACTCTTGTGGCCATTTGGAGAGAACTGTTGTCTTAACGGTATTGACTCTTCGGTTGAGGAACAGGGCATCTCTGTCTCTCTTTTAGTTACAGATTCTTGACTTCTCCCAGCACTGCTCTGTGGTTTTCAGTCTTTAGGTGTTACACATTTTTCCTTAAAGGTTTTCCTTTGTTTTATTTATGCTACTGTAAATGGTATCTTTAAATTTTCATTTTTCTAATTCTTGTCTTTATTTAGTTAGTTCTAGTAGATTTTTTTTTTTTTTTTAGTAATTTTTGTATTGAACATCAGGCTCAAACTCAGGACCCTGAGATCAAGAGTCCCATGCTCTTCTGATTGAGCCAGCCAGGTGCCCCCAGCAGATTTTTTTTTTTTTCCCTATAGATTCCTTTTGGATTTTCTTCACCTGTAATCCTCTCGTCTACAAATACAGTTTACTTCTTCTTTTCTGATTTTTCCATCTTTTCTTTCTTTTACTGTTATAGTTTATTATTACTATAAAAGTGATATTTTAATGATTTAGCTGCTTTTACCCCAGTCTTCAACTGAAATGATCTTCTAATCTAGGAAGACACTTTGCTATGACTTAAAGGGCCTCACCGACCCAGTGGTGAGGCCCCATGGAGGGCTAACCATGACCTGGGCCTATGGGGTATAAATAAAGCAAACAGGTGGGCCTGGATGTGCTCCGAACTCCTAGTGAAGCACCCAGCCTGAGGGCCTATGTGTCCTGCTGGGGGAGGACAGCCAGCGGCCCTGCACCCGATCCAGGATGTGGGATTGGGGCCTGGTGCCGTTGCTAGGATGGGGCTGGTACTGTGCTCCCAGCCCAGTGTTGATCCGAGCATCAGGATGCATTCCACACATGCCAGGTCCCACCGTAAGTTTTCAGGGGCTCCGTGGGCATCAGATGTCATCCTGGGAGCACGATCTCTCTCACATGTCCTGTGGACTTTAGGGCTGCGTTGCCCTGAGTAGTTCAAGCCCCTATTCCTTAGCCAGGGCTGCCGGGCTGAGCATGTATCTCCCTAGGACACAGGGCCAGGGCAGTAGGTGCTACTGGTGGTGACACTATCATCTGTCACAGGGCTTGACATGGAGGAAGGCAAGGAAGGAGGCACGTGGCTGGGAATCAGCACACGGGGGAAGCTGGCCGCACTCACCAACTACCTGCAGCCACGGCAGGACCCGGATGCCCGGGGCCGAGGTACCATGGGGCTGTGGTGGAGGATGCGGGGCAGGGGGGCGGGCTTTCCTGGGCACATGTGGACACAGGAGGAGGAAGAAAGGGAAGTGGGGTGTTTCCGGCTCTGAGGCCCACTGGCTGGCATCACTGTGGGAATCCCCCCTCTGCCTGGCCCAGACAGCACCTACCTGCACAGACATGGATTGCCCCTCTCAGGGAACACTCTCCACATTTGTGCCCCAGGCCAAAGTGTCACTTCTGGCTGTTGTCGTTGTCCCCCACCTGTCAGATGTTTGCAGAGCAGTACCCCGTGGGAAGACAGCTCTATGGACACACATTGTCCCCACTGAAGATTTTTTTCTCCTCATGCTGTACTTCCATTTAGGGTGTAATGGCAGAAAAAAAAAAATTAAAACCCAACAAAAACAGAGTTCTTGATGTAGACCTCCTTAGATGCCAGGGGAATGAGGTACGGCTCCCCAGGACGAGGGACTCAGCCCTGCTGCCTCGGCCATGTGTGTCTGTCCCCTACCCACAGGTGAACTTGTGACCCATTTTCTGACTACAGACATGGACAGCTTGTCCTACTTGAAGAAGGTCTCTGCGGAGGGCCACCTGTACAACGGCTTTAACCTCATAGCAGCCGACCTGAGGTGGGTCTGCTGGGAGGGAGACGGCAGCCCATTGGGCACTGCCACAAAGCTGAGTTGTGGGCTTGACGGGAAGTGGGGTTCCCACCCTGCCACTCAGCTTGGGGTACTGCAGCAGCCTCTGCAGGGACATAGCTCCTGGTGGGCATGGTGAGGGTCCCCAGGGCCGGCCGACTGTTGCGGAGGCGTAGGGATTGGAGCCCGGGCTTCCTGAAGCAGCGTCAGGGTTGCTGGCTCCTACGTGCGAGCTATAATAAGACTGCAGCGGGCATCTCCAGTCACGGGGGGCACCCCTTGCCCACGCCGGCCCCTTGCCCCTGAGCTCTCCTCCACGTGTCCGTGGCTCAGGAGTGCCCTGTTGTGGAGCTGCACCTCACTTGCCCTGTTCTGTGGTGTGCAGAGGTGCCCCAGGCTGGAGAAGGAAGGCCCAAGCACCGCTGACTGGGGTCCAGAGCAGCTGGTGGTGGTCAGGTGCTGCTGAGCTCTGGGGCCTCACAGTGGCTTCTTCAGGGGAGGTGTGTCTGAGCATGTGGTCTGGCTCATCTCAGGTTCTGCAAGGGGCTCAGTGGAAAGCTCCCAGGGCCTGTCTGGAGTTGTCAAGGGGCAACAAAGCTGTCCCAGCTGCCCACGGGCCTCATCACCAGAGGATGTGGAGGCTCTGCTGTGCAGTCATTTGGGGGGAGTCTTCCCCTATCTGGAATCGGGCAGATAGGCAAGGAGCAGAGGCAGGAGGAAGGGTCCCCAAGAGGCCTGGAGCCTCGGGTGCCTGTGCTGGCTGTGAGTCAGGAGGCAGGTTGCTGGAACCCGGCAGGGGCCTGCGGCCGTTGGGGTGTTGCCAGGCCCAGTGAGGCACTCAGAGGTGCAGCAGTAGCTGGCAGTTGCCCACATGGCTGTGTTGGGGTGGATGCTGAGCCCTTCATGTGCAGCACCTGGCACATCCTCACAGCCACCCCGTGTGCACCTGCTGCGGCCGAGCTCCGACGTGGCGAAGACCCCTGCTGGTGTGCGGTGGGGCTGGGGTCCCCTGGTACTGCTTTGGGCTGTTGGCTGGGGTCCAGGTGGCCCTGGAGACCGTAGCCCCATCCCACCGAGTGGGCACCAGGTTGGGGAGGAGCACTGCGCTCATGGCTGTGACAGCTTGCAGCATCTGTGTTTCTACCTGAGGTGCTGGCTGGCCACTGTTGGATTGTGGCCTGGCTTCTCCGAGTGTGTTATCTCTGTGGCTCCCATGTCTGGACCCTGGCCACGGCCCTGCAGGAGCTCAGGCGCCAGCCGCACTGCTGTGGGCCTCCATAGGGCTGTCTCTAGGCCAGGGCCTATTGCTCAGCAGTGTTTGCTGAGTGCTGGCTGAGGAGCGGGCACTGCCCATGGTCCGCTTCCTCCGTGGGACGCTGAGCCATGAGGTGAAGTGATTGTTGGTGTTTGGTGCAGAGTAGCGGGAGTCCTGTGGTACCCTTGTCCCCCGGGGGTGGGGTGGTGACCCCAGAGCCTGTGCCCAGGACTGTTGATCAGATGCCAGTGGACAGTGGCTGGGGCTGCGTGCTGGGTGCCAGGCATCTACCCGGCCCTTTCTCCAAGTGTGCAGACAGATGTGGTGACAGATGAGTAGACACTATTGACAGTCTTGGTGCATAAGGCAGATCACGGCAGGTGGGGGAGTGGTAATGCCACAGCCATGAAGGGTGGCCGATGTGGAGAGGCTCTGGCTGGGTGTCCTCACCTCCGATGCCCCAGGGCCCATGTGCATTCCTCAGAGCAGGCCGCACGGAGTGGCTGGTGGATTCAGGCATTGGTGGGAATAGCCCGACAGGGCTGGTGGGGTGTCCTGTGCTCCCTCCCGGAGGACTTGCACTTTACAGATGTGGGCTGGGGACTGCAGGGGTTTTGTGAATTTGTCCTTCAGTGAAGTGAGCATCCATCGTCCTTTCCTCCAGCCCTCCCCTTGTGCACCCCCACTGCCAGTGCCCCAGAGGTCAGTGGATGTCGTCAGCTTTCACCAGGGGAGGTGGTCAGTACCCCGTGGTTGGCCCATGACCAGACACCTGGCCTGAGCTTACTTCCTTCCACAAGGAGCCCCAGGCCCACTGTGCCTTGAGTGTCCACTGCATGTGGCCCACTCGGCCCCACTGCACGGATCGACACATTGATATGGAGGCTGCAGTGGCCATGGGAGGAGGTGGGGACTGGCATAGGTACTTGCTGCCCTGGACCTCTCCTCCGCACCATAGGCAGCTATGGCAGGGAGACTTCCATGCCCAGGTAGGGATCCTTTTGCTTGTCGTTCTCTCTACGTCTGACCCGGTCTGGGAGACCAGTAGTCCAGCAGGACTCAGTGCTCAGTGGCCATGTCAAAGTGGCTGGGTGACGAGAGCCCCAGCTCTGAGTGGACACATGCATGGGCAGGCGGCTCCTGCAGGTGGGCTTGGGCCCCTCTGTGCCTGAACAGCTCTCCTGGCTCCTGGGGCCACAGGGTCAGAGCCTGCCGCCCTAGACACTGCTCTCAAGGCCAGGTGGTGGCCAGGGCAACCGAGTGGGTTATGCCCAAGGACCAGGTGTGGAGGGCTGAGGCCAGAGGGTGGAGGGAGTCGTCAGTCAGAGGAACCCCAGTGGCAGGTGCCAGAAGTCAGGGTCAAGAAGAGGGGAGCCTCATCGCTATCATGGCTGGTCCCTGACCAAGCATGGCGGGAGTGGGTGTCCAATCCACAGGTCTTCATGCTTTCTAGCTTTGTGCCTATAAACACAATTTCTAAAGTCATTAGCCAGATATCTTGAGAAATGAGCCAGGGGCTGTGGGGAGGAACACAAGCAGAATGTGAAGCCCTCTGGGGCCAGGGTGGGCACAGCCAGAGGGACTCCCTGGCAGCCCCACCCGGCTCTTTCTTTGCAATGGTTCATCCTGGAGGTTCAGGTCCCTGTGTGGCGTTCCCTGCACCTGCGGCAAGGTGGCCCAAGGCCAGGAAGAGTCCTTCCTAGTTTGCAGAGCAGGCAATTTCAAGGAAGATTTACTATGGTGTTTATGAGTGGGAACATTTTCAGCTCTGAGCATTTTGAACTATTTTTAAATGCACACTCAGCACATAAAAGTAGGCAAATGTGATCTTTGGTGCTTTGTTTGGAAGCCTCTGTTACCCTGGTGTATTCCACTGTGTCTGGAGGTGTCCAGAGATGGGCTCTGGGGGTGGGGATTGGTGTCTGTGGGTGCAGTGCAGTTATTAACGTACATAGCGTGCAAGTACCTGTGCCACGGGGGCATGTGGTGAGGCAGGAGGGTCTTTTAGATGCTGCCCCTCGCAGCCTGCTCCCAGGCCAGGGGTCTCTGTGGTGAGCCAGGAGTCAGGAGCCAGGGGTCTCAAAGATCCTACATGGGAGGCTGGGGCCCTGACCAGCTCCTGTCCTGGTTGCAGCGAGCCATTGTCCCTGTCCTAGACTGTGGGGATTGCCAGACAGTGAGAGATTTGGACGCCCCATAGCTCCCATCTGACTCTCTCTCTCCTCCTTTCCACAGCACAGAGAAGGGGGATGTCATTTGCTACTATGGAAACCGGGGGGAGCCTGAGCCAGTTGTCCTGGCACCAGGTTAGTCTACTCTGGTGGGTGGTGACAAGGTGGGGGCTGCTTCTGTGGGGACACTTCTGTACTTTTCAGAGACTGGGTCCCTGTCACATTTCTCTCCTGGGATTATGCTCCTTGGCCATTTGTGTGGCTTATGCCCCCATAGTGGCCCATGGCCTACACTTGGTCCACATGTCAGGTTGCCCACAGCCAGGGCCACCTTCCCCTAGCACTGAGCCCGTGACCGCCCAGAGAGAATTGAAAAAGGACAATCTGCAAAAGGACACAGAGGCCCCTCCTACCCCCACTTCTATGCATTGGCCCAGAGGCCTTTGTGGAAGCATCTGGAAACTACCCCTGTGATGCTCCCTCTCATTTCTCAGTACTTGAGATCCTGTGACTGGAGATGCTTGTTTTCTGCTAAAGGGAGGAAGGAAGGGACAGAGAGAGAGAGGGAAGGTCGAAGGGAGGGAGCGAGGTCATTTCAAATACATCGTGTTGTTTCCCTGAGCTTGACCCTGCCTGACCGTGTCACTTTTAAAAATAACAGTTTTATTGAGATGTAGTTCACATATCATACAATGTACTCACTTAAACTGTACCATTCGGTAGATTTTAGTCTATCCGCAAAGGTATGCAACTATCACTGCTATGGAACCCCATGACATTTTCATCACCCCGAAAAGAAACCCCTGTCTCCATTAGCGGTCACCGCCCCCCCCTTGACCCCTCAGCCCCAGACAACTACTAACCTACTTTCTGTCTCTGGGGATTTGCCTACTCTGTACATTTTGTACAAGTGTAATCATCCAATATGTGGCCTTTGGGACTGGCTTCTTTCTTAGCATCATGTTTCCAAGGTCCATCCACGTTGTAGCATGAATTAGGGCTTCACTCCTTTTTACGGCTGAATAATCGTCCATTGTCCAGATATTCTACATTTTGTTTTTCCATTCAATTGGTTGATGGACCCTTGGGTTGTTTTCAGCTTCCAGCTATTGTGGATCATGCTGCTGTGAACATATGTTATGAGTTTTTGTGGGGACCTGTGTTTTTCTCTCTTTCATGTGTATACCTAGGAGTGGAAGTACTGGATGGTGAGATAACTGTTTAACCCCTTTGGGGAACTGCCAAACTTTCCCAAAGCAGCTGCACCACTTACATTCCTAACAGCAGCATCTGAGGTTCCAATTTTCCCACATCCTCATCAGCAGTTACTATTGTCTTTTATTTATTTATTTGATTTATTTATCTGATAGAGAGAGAGAGTGAGAGCAGGAACACAAGCAGGCGGAGTGGGAGAGGGAGAAGCAGGCTTCCAGCCGAGCAGGGAGCCCGATGCGGGGCTTGATCCCAGGACCCTGGGATCATGACCTGAGCTGAAGGCAGTCACTTAACCAACTGAGCCACCCAGGTGCCTTTTTTTTTTTAAAGATTTTATTTATTTATTTGACAGAGAGAGAGAGAGAGAGACAGACACAGAGAGAGCACAAGCGGGGAGCAGCAGAGGGAGAGGGAGAAGCGGGCTCTCTGCTGAGCAGGGAGCCCGATGTGGGACTCGATCCTAGGACCCTGGGATCATGACCTGAGCCGAAGGCAGACGCCTAACGACTGAGCCACCCAGGAGCCCCTATTATTGTCTTTTTTGAAAAGATTTTTAAAATTAAAAAAAAATTCTCTATACCCCATGTGGGGCTCAGACTCAAAACCCTGAGATCAAGAGTCTCACGCTCCCCTGACGGAGACAGCCAGGCGTCCCTGTCTTTTTGATTACAGCCATCCTAGCGGATGTGAAGTAGTATCTCATGGTGATTTTGATTTGTGTTTCTCTGATGGCAAATGATGTTGAGCATCTTTTCATGTGCTTAGGGGTCATTTATATGTCTTCCTTGAAGAAATGTCTGTTCAGATCCTTTGCCCATTTTTAAATTGGGTTGTTTGTTATTTTTGAGTTATAGGTTTTTTTCTCTTTTTAAAGATTTTATTTTATTTTACTTATTTTTAAGATTTTATTTATTTGAGAGAGAGAGCATGAGCGGGGGAAAGGGGTAGAGGTAGAAGAGGACTCCCCACTGAGCAGGGAGCTGGATGCAGGACTCTGTCCTAGGGCCCTGGGATCATGACCCGAGCTGAAGGCAGACACCCAGGCACCCCTAAGATTTTATTTTTAAGTAATCTCTGTGCCCAGCGTGGGGCTGGAACTACAACCCTAAGATCAAGAGTCACATGCTCTTCCACCTGAGCCAGCCAGGTGCCCCATGTTATGGTTCTTATATATTCTAGCTACCAGTCTTGTATCAGATGTATGATTTGCAAAAATTGTCTCCCCTTCTGTGGGTTTTCTTTTCACTTTCTTGTTGATGTCTTTTGAAGCACATCATTTCAAGTTTTGGTGAAGTCCCGTTTATTTCTTCTGTTGCTTGTGCTTTTGGTGTCATGTTTAAGAAATCATTGCCTAATCTAAGGTTGGTAGCTTTTCTCCTATGCGTTCTTCTTTTTTTTTTTAATTTATTTACCTATTTGATGGAGACAGAGACAGCAAGAGCAGGAACACAAGCAGGGGGAGTGGGAGAGGGAGAAGCAGGCTTCCCGCCGAGCAGGGAGCCCAATGTGGGACTCGATCCCAGGACTCTGGGATCATGACCTGAGCTGAAGGCAGCCGCTCAACGACTGAGCCACCCAGACGCCTTTTTTTTCCCTAGGCATTCTTCTGAGGCTTATAGTTTTAGCCTTTATGTTTAGAGCTATGGGACATTTTGAATTGATTCTTTTGTATGGTGTGAGGTAGGGATTCCACTTCCTTATTTGCATGTGGCTACCCAGGTGCCCAGCACCACTATGGAGTAGTCTTCCCTGCTTCTCTTGATGGATAAAGCACAGTGATACCCCACCCTGGTGGCCCAGCAGAGCCAAGGCTGTCTTCCTTGGAAGTGGCTGCAATCACCTCAGACTCAGTCAAGATCCTCACCCTGTGAAGAGCTGCAGCAGGCGGTGCTGGCTTCCTGTCTTCGGTGCGTCTTTCGAGGTGCATGACTCCAAGGTCACCTGCCACTGCTTCCTGAGGCTTCCTGAGAGTGGGCCCCCTCCACTTCAAGGCCAGGCCTCTCCTTTTTTTGACATGAGAAACTCTTTTCTTTTTTGTCACCCATTCTTTTAACTCACTGACAACTTGTTCTGAGAAGGTTGTGCTGAGACCCTATCATTCCCCAGTCCAGGGTCCTGGCCAGTATAGAGTGGAGGTGGGCCCTGCCTACTCTCACTGAGTTGAGGCCATTCTCATGTTGGCAGACTCCCTAACCACTGATACCCAGCAGGTACCCCTCTGGCCTCAGGTTGCTCTTCTCCCACCCTTGACCTTCTCAGGCAGATCCACCCCTTGCAGCTTCTTCCTAGCTTAGAGACAGGACTGAGATGGGGAGGTGGTTCCTTCTTGAGGTTCGCGGGTGGGCATTTATTCTGAATTCCCACAGTGGGGCCTCTGCACTGGCTGGGCTGTCCCCTTCCCTGCAGGGACCTATGGACTAAGCAATGCGCTGCTGGAGACGCCCTGGAGGAAGCTGTGCTTTGGGAAGCAGCTCTTCCTGGAGGCTGTGGAGCGGAGCCAGGCGCTCCCGAAGGATGTCCTCATTGCCCAGCTCCTGCATGTGCTCAACAATGATGAGGCGTGAGTGGGTGGATCCTACCATGGCGAGCAGTGTGTCCCCCTTTTTCTCTAGCCCTGGGATGTAGAGGCAGGCAGGCTGTGTTGCCCTAGGAGGCTTGTGGAAGTGACTGGGGCCAGCTCCTTAGCCAGGGGGAGCCTGATGGACATACTGTCCTTTGCTCTTCTCCTAACTGCTCCCCTCCTGGGCCAGTGCACTTTGAAGCTCAATGCTCTCAGAGGCTTGATGTGGGCCTGTGTGGGGCAGAGAGTAGCTGGAGGTTCCCCGTGTCTGCATACAACTAGTGGGAGATTCTAGAAAGCTCCAGGTGCTTAGCAAACCACAGAAGCAAGCAGCCAGCCTGGGACTATATCTAGGGGTTAACTGGCCTTCCCACATGCTGTCCTACCAGTGCTATGGCACAGACACACCTGTCCCAGGAATCTCCTTGGGGAAAGGAGCTCCTGACCCAACTTCCCTAAGGCACCTCAGTGGCCTCTGCACACAGTACCTGCCTCAGGGATGCCACCCCCTGGCGTGTCCTGGCCATCCCACCTGGGGGTCAGAGGTGCTGGCCAAACTACCTTCTTCCCATGCCACAATGTGGCCCATACTCAGGCCAGGCCACTATCCTGCCCAGATGCCCTGGCAGCCCCTCAGAGGAGCCTCCCACTCCTGTCTCCTACAGCCCTTCCCTGCCCCTCGCTTACTCTCCATCTCCTGTTGGAACCATGAACCAGGGCACTTTTAGCTTCAGCATAGCCACCCCTCAGGGAAGCCCTGCTAGGGCTGGTCCAGCATCCCCTGCTCAGCTGTGAGTCATGTGGTCCTCAGTCACTGGCTGTCATCCCCTCTGGCCTGAAATGGGGTCCTGGCTGCTTTGACAGCTGTGGGCCTAGCACCAGCTTCAGTGGCTGGCAAGCTGCAGGGCTCAAGTGGGCTCCTGTCACGTGGAGAGATGCCCATAGGTACCTCTTGGGGTAGGCAGGGCATGTATGTGGCCAGTGACCCCTCAGCCAGGCCCCTGCCCCACAGCACCCCTAACCACTGAGACATAACCAAGACAGGAAGGTAAGTTTGCTCTGAGAGATGACTTCTGTCATTCCTGGGGGGGCCCTGCACAGCTCTGACCAGATTGACCCCCGGCATTTGCAGATTCAGCAGAGCCTTCCGCAGGGCTGAGCTCATGTCCCTGGGTCCCGGGAAAGCTCCTGGGGGCCCTGGCAGGGGAAGCTGGCCTGGCACTCACTGTCTGGCAGCCTGGGCCCAGTGATGGAGTCCTAAATAAAAGACTGGACTGAGATTTGATGCCTTCAGCAAAGTGCACAGACAGAACAGCCCTTGTGGATCCCCCAAACTGCCTCATGAGGCTGGTAGGCTCCTTAGGCACTGCAGGCCTTGAGGATGGCAGGTGGGGCTATGGGTGGGTGGGTGGGGGTGGCAGTGACCCGGCCTCTGTCCTTCCAGGCAGCTGCCAGACCCGGCCATTGAGGACCAGGGCAGGGAGTACGTGCAGCCCTTCCTGAGCAAGTATGCGGCTGTGTGTGTGCGCTGTCCAGGCTACGGCACCAGGTACGAGGGGCTGCTGGGTGCATTCAGTGCTGTCCCACGAGGAACCCAGCCCTCCCTGAACTCTGTGGACCCCAGAGCCTCTGCCCTGTCTAAAAGCAGCTGCCGTTTCAGCTTGGGGGTTGCGGGGGCTGTGGGGCCAGCAGACACCACAGCTGATGGTTTTGAACAACAAGCTCGCCGGCTCCCAGGGGTACTGCAGAAATGGTTCCTGGGCTGCTTCCTGCTCCCTCCACAGCCATGAGGGGGCTGGGATGGCTGTGGATGCACTCGGCTTGGCAGATCCCTGTGGACCCAGAGGTCCCACTGCCCAGCTCTTCCTCTCATTTTGCCCTGTGTCCTTGGGTCTGTTACATTCTCTGTGTGACCAGGGCAGGAATCAGGTCATGTCGGCCTGGGGACATCGCCCAAGAAAAGGGCAACTTCTGGCCTCAGCCACAAGGAGAGAATGCCTGGGAAGGAGAAGCTCTTGGCATGGGTGTCTGCTGTCCCAGCAAGTTCCTTCTCTGCCTCTCTCCCTCCTGGGCAGAGGAAGATTGGCTCTGTGTGTCTGGGAGGCCCAGCCCATCCCTGCGATCCTGTCTGGGGTAGCCTACCTGCTGTACTTGGAGGTGGGTGGGTTGCTGGACCGGCCAGGATGCGCTAGGAGTGCTGTTGCTCACCTGGCCCACCTGGCCTGGAGGCAGACTGTGGCCTCGTGCAAAGCAACATCTGCCTGGATTTGGCTTGCACCAGGTTCCCGGGGCACCAGCCTTGTGGTCGGCTGGTGACCTGCAGTGGACTGTGATGGATAGGCTAAGCTCTTGGGGGCCCGTGGCCACTAAGGACTCAGGGATGGGATGCTTGGGTGGTGACAGGTGCTGAGTGATGCCACGGTGATACCGCATGTACTCTGGGTACATGGTGATATCACACGTAATACTTGATTTTCGAGTTCAGGTTGGCCCGAGGATTCCATCCTCCAGGAGATGACAGCTTCAAGCCCTCTAGCTGGGGGATGGGATGGTAGGCAGGGCCATGGTGGTGTCACTGCCCAGCACTGATGCTCCAGGGCCCAAGGGTTGTATGCCTGAATGGTGGCCTTTCCATTCTTAGGCTTTTCCCTTGGCAGGTGGCGGGGCATCAATTCTCTCAGGCTTCTCCATCACAGACCTTTTTCTCGACTAAATTACATGCTCACGTGTCCTCATGTGCGTGAGGCAGAGTGCCAGGTCTGCTCCCTGGACAGGTGTGTGGCTGCTGGGTCCAAGCCCGACTGGGCCCCCCAGTCTTCGGCATGGGTGTGCCCACTCTGTGTGTCAGCCTGCACGGGGGCTGCCCTCTCTCAGGGGGAGACAGGTGCTAACAAAGTGAGGACTGGCCTTAGGGACGGCTGGCAGGAGGAGAGAAGGTGCACTGAGCATTTGGGATGGGTAGAAGGGGAGGAGGACAGGAGAAGGTTCCTGGTGATAGAGGCCCCATTTGGGGCTCTGCCAGGCAGGCAGGGGGCTGAGGGCAGAGGGCTGAACATGGGCCCCCTGCTCTCTTTCAGAACCAACACGGTCATCCTCGTGGATGCAGACGGGCACGTGACCTTCACAGAGCGTAGCATGCTGGACAAGGACCCCTCCTGCTGGGAGACCAGCACCCACGAGTTCAAGCTGCAGAGCTAACCCCTCTCCCTGGGTGTGGCCATTGGGCTCCTGGAAGGCCCTGCCTCGAGGACCAGTGTGGATAGGAACCTTCCGTAGGCACATGCACTGCCTGTGACTTGGCCAAGCATCCCCCAGGACCAGGGCCCTCTGGTGTTTCTGTGACCTGTCTGTGTCCACGTGTCCCGCTCAGGGTCTGCCCTTACGCCAGTAGGAGCGACAGAGTCCCGCAGCCAGGCCTGGGGCAGGCCTAGGTGTGCTGTGCTTGTGTGAAGGCACCTCGATCTGCCCCTGTCCAAGCACAGAGGCACACAGTCGAGGCACATGCCTCCATGCACACCTGCAGGTACACGGGCACACGCACACCATGCACAGGCAACAGATAGGTGTACACATGCTCAAACGGACACAGAACCCCCGGCATCCACACGTATGCATGCTAGACAGGCAGAGATGTGCCGCTCACATCCGCAAGTGCTTCTGGCCAGTGGGTCTTTCCTTTGATCAAAACAACAGGGTGTAGACTTTTGTTTAAAAGTGGCTCCCTTTCTCCTGGGCATAGTCCACTTCTGGACAGCTAGACTTGCTTTTAGAGAGGAGAGGCCCCATTTGGAATGAGAAATGAGAACAACCCCAGAAAAACCCACTGTCATAACAGAAGCACAGGCTGATTGGTGGTCCTTTATGCTCTGGGGGGTCTCCTGTGTGCATGGGGTGGTCCGGGGGGGGGGGGGGGGTGGTCCTGCATGATGTCCCAGGGGTTCTGTGTATGCTGGGGCACCTTGGTAGGCTCTCAGGCACCTACCTGCCCATTGGGGGTCATGGGATTGGGCAGGCCCTCTCAGTGAGGGGACACAGGCAACCCTTACTATTTCCCTTCTCCTTGGGGAGTCAGACTTCATAGGAATCTGTACTTGAACGTGAGAACTTGATAATAAAATTCAGAGGCTGTGGTGAGTCAGTGCATTTCAGGTCCTTGTGTGATGGGGGACAACTGTGCAAGGGGTCAGTAGGGCTGCTCTCCTGGTCTGCAGGAACTCCCAAGGCACACTCACCAGAACAAGCCTCTCCCCACTTTCTTCTTTTGCTCATGGGTCTCTGAGCACCCTGATGGAAAGCCAAGGGTCCATCAGCTTGTCCATCTGTCTGTCCTTGGGCTGGGGTTCGAGAGAGAGCCTATATGCATGGGACACAGTGGGTGCCAGTTACAGGGCCTCCTGAGCTGGGCTGAGGAGCCAGGGACTCATCGGGGGTGTAGTGAGGAGCCCTTGGGGACCTCCCCATGGAGTGGTGTGGTCAGGCCTGCACTTGGGGTGGACTGTGGAGGCCAAGGGGTGGTAGGAATGGGTTTCAGGGCAAGGGGGCAAGTAGAGTCTGTCTTAATTGCAGGACCCTGGTTTGCGGCAGGCACTCAGGAGTTCCTGTCCCTAGCCCAGGCTGAGCATCAGGGGGTCCTGTTGTGTGTCCAGTGCTGAGACCCAGACTTCATCTGCCTTTGCAGCTGACCCCCAACTTGGCCTTCTCAGAGCCAGTGAGAGCTTGGGGTGGGGTGTGGACCTGCACCCGGCCCCACTTGCCTTCTCAACCCTTCCCTCTTCTCACCCTGAGCACCCCTCTGGGGACTGATGCCCTCCTTGGCTCACTTTGAACTCAGAGGAAAAGTGCTTGAGCATGGTCAGGTTTGAATGGGGCCCCCAGTGGTGGCATAGCCCACACCCCTAGGCCCAGGGGCAAACACTTGTTGGCTGAGGCACACTGAGCCAGGCTCTCAGCCTAGGCACTGCCGATGCCCTTCATCTGCCTCAGTGCCCCACACCAGCACCCACCCTGGCCAGGCATGTCTGCCCTCATGGGGCACCACTGGGCTGGTGCAAAGCCATCTGGAGAGCTCTCCCTGATGTTTGTCTCTACCCCAGGGACAGAGCCTGCACAGGGATACCCCAGCCCTCAACCTGCCCTGGGCTTCCCAAGTGCCTGAGCCCCCGAAGAAAGGGCAGCCAAGATGTAATTCTATTGTTATGGGTTGAGTTGTGTGCTTCCCGAAAGATCTATTGGAATCCTAGCCCCTGTACCTCGGAATATGACCTTATTAGGGTCTTTACAGAAGTAATCAAGATAAAATGCAGTCATTAGGGTGGGCCCTAATCAGGTATGACTGATGTCCTTATAAAAAAGGGAAAATTTGGACACGGGGACAGACATGCATGCAGGCAGAATGCCCTATAAAGACTGGAGCTATGCTGTCCCATGCCAAGAAACTACCAGAAGCTGAGAGAGAGACCTGGAATAGATCCTTCCCTGGTGCCTTTAGAGGGAGTGTGGCTCTGCCAACACTTTGAGCTCGGACTTCTGGCCTCCAGAACTGTGAGACAATAAATTTCTGTGGTTTAAGCCACTCATTTATGGTACTTTTGTTATGGCAGCTCTAGCAAACTAAATCAATTGTGACCTTCATTTTACAGATGAGGAAATTGAAGCTTGGAGAGATACCATAATAGTGTCTCAGTACCCAGGCAGGTAGGGAGGCAGAGCCATGGGGCCAGGAAGGAGAGGATGCATCTTGGGGTGTCTTCCCTTGTAGGCTCATGGTCTTCCCACATTGGTTTCACCTGCTGTCCTGCACACCCACCCCCCCCATCACCACATTTTTCTTGCCTCTGCCACTACCCTTGGTCGCGCTTTCTGCACAGCTTCTGCCTCAGGGCCTTGGCACTTGCTGTCCCTTCTGGTTGAAGAACTCTCCCCCCCCCCCCAATATCCAAACCACACTGTCCCTCACATCCTGCAGCTCTTTGGTAAAGTCTTGGGGAGGCATCCCATCTGAAGCTGCAATCTGCCCTGCCTTGGTCCCTGCTCTATTTTCTATAGCAGTTAGCACTGGGACATGCTATGTGTTTTGCTTGATTGTTTCTTGTGTGTCTCACTATCAGAACAAGAGCTTCAGGAGGCAAGGCCATTACTCTCTTGTCCATCACTGTATTCTGATGCCCACGCCAGGTAGACATTTGAACCAAAAATGACATTGCTGGCACTTCTCAAGCCCCCATTTATTTTGGTCTTGAAGTGAGACCCTTGTGTGGTTAGAAGGGACCCTAGCAAGCTGTGCTTTCCAAAAGTGCTTTTGACATGCCACACAGGAAGCCTGGACCTGACCTTGGCATGGCTTAGCTAGTCATCAGATGCACTGGATCCCTGAGTTCCCAACATGGGTCCTCTTTTCCCAACATGGGTCCTCTTTTCCCAGATGGAGGGGGAATTCACCTCCTTTTCAGATGCCCCTGATGAGCTGCTTCTGCTCTCTGGCTCTAAGACAGCCAGTTGAAGTGTGTTGGCATGCAGGCTGGAGGTATGGAGCTGACTGATATGGAAGCTAAGTCTGAGTAAACAAGACCAGCCCAGGAATGCAGCCTGGCCTTGAGGCTTGTCATGGCAGGCCTGAGATCCTGGCCTTCTGCCTGCAGAGACACCCCCGCCACCGCCCCACCACTAACACCTGATCTTTTGGTCTCATCTGCCAGCACATAGCATCATCCAGGTTCTTTAGTAGAGACCTGGCTCATGGGTGAGCTGGGCTCAGGTGGAAACATAGGAGCCCAGAAGGAAAAGTTTCCTCAGTTTGGGCTAGAGCTCCGGCTTCTAGGCATCCACCTGAGGCTGGAGTCAGATGGGGGCTGTGGGGACGTTGTGTGGGAAGGCCATGTGGAAAGCCAGCTGTAGTGTGTTGGTCTGAGGTCTCGAGTCTGAGGCAACTCACCAAGCAATAAAGTGTGGAGAGTTTGCTAAGGCTGGATGGTGGCATGCCAAGGGTTCCCATGAGCTCTGACCACTGGGCCAAGGAGAGCAGTTGGCCCAGCCACAGGGAGGCTGGCCTCCCCTGGCTAAGTCCAGGAGCTAGAACTTCATGGGTCTTGGTCACATTTTTATTGTGACCAAGTGAAGTGTCTTTGTGCTGTGAAGTGTCTGGTGCTGACCACTGGGACAGCCAGGTAAACAGAAAGGGGCAGGAAAGGAGGGAAGGGCCTGGATAGGCCTCCAGCTTCCTCCCTCACCTGCAACACTCTTTTTCCCCACCTTTTTTAATCTTTTCATTTTGAAATGATTTCAACTTACCAAAAACTTGAAACGATAGAACAAAACATTCCAGTGTCTTTCACCCAGTTCCCCCCAATGTTAACACCCTACCTCTAGCCATACTAAAATGATTACAACCAGGAAATTAGCGCTGATACATTATTACCAGCTAATTTACAAACCTAATTTGAATGACCAGTTGTCCCACTTCTGTCCCTTTCCTGAGCCAGGTTTCAATACAGGGTCCAGATCCCACATCACATAGTTGTGTTTCCTGTAATTGAAGACAGCTCCTCAGTGTCTGACTTGAATGATCTTGACACTTGAAAAGCACCTGCCAGTTTTTTGGTAGAATGTTCCTCATTTGGGTTTGTCTGATCTTTCTTCATTCAGGTTTTGCCTTTTGGGTAGTGATGCATGTCCTTCTCAGGAGGCCTACAATATGTCCCTTTACTGGTGCTGACTTTTGTCTTCATTTTTAAGGTATCATTAATATACTATACAACAAATATCTTTAAAGTATAAATTTGGTAAGTTTGGATGTGTATACGTTTGTTGGTGACCTCGATCACTTGGTTACCTGGTTCTCTCTCAGGTTTTTCTCCACGGCGGTTACTATTTTAGGTTTGCGGTTAGTGTCTTGGGGAGAAACTTTGCATCTCTGTAAAGCAACAAAAAAATCGCCAATTCTCCTACTTTTTCTATTTTTAGCATCCGTGATTTTTGTCTGCAGCAGGTTTGTGCAGGCTGCCAAAAGGGAGATTTCCTACTTCCATCATTCCTTCTACATTTATTCACTGGAATTCTGGTCTAAGGAAGAGCTGTCCCTTCTCCATTTACTTATACCCTCCCTTTTCTGAGGTTCCTGAAATGGCATTAGCAAGTGGAAAAATGCCGGAAGTTCAGCATATTTGTCCTGTTTTCCTACTGATTATGCTTAATGCTTTTAATTGGAAACGTTTAATGATTGTGTGTATACGGTCTCGTCTGCACTACGTAGACCACGGAGGCGCCCTCTGCTCCCGGCGTCCCCTGCGCCGCCCGGCTCCCGGCGCTTCCCGCGTTCTCCCGCTCCCGGCATCCCCTGCGCTCCTCCTTACCCGGCATTCCCTGCGCTTCCCGCGCTCTCCTGTTCCCGGCATCCCCTGCGCTGCCCGTTCCCGGCGCTCCGCGCGGCCGCCGCCCTCCGCGCGGCGAGCCCCGCCCCGGCGGCGACCGTTAGTGCGGCCGCGGCCTGAGCGCCTGGTCCCGCCCACGCGGCCGCGCTATTGGGCCGCGTGCCGTGGCCGCGAGCGCCACGCGCTGCCGATTGGCGGCCTCCGCAGCCCGCTCCGCGGTTCCCCCAATGCGGGGCGCCCGCGCGCAGGGATTGGCCGCGAGCCGCCAAGGCCCGCCCTCCGCTCGCCCCGCGCGGCAGGCGGGTCCGCCGACCGGAGAGAGCTTGGGAGGCCTTTCTAGATGGCGGCTAGGCCGTGAGGGTCTCCCTGCCTTGGTCGGGCTGCGGGCAGCTCGGGCAGGCCGCGGGCGCCGGAGGTAGGTGCGGGGCGCGAGGGGCGCCCCGCGGGCCGGCCGGGCGGGCGGGCGGGCGGGCGCTGCGGCCTGCGCGAGGGCGCGCCCTTCCCCTCCCTGCTTCCCGGGCCAAGGGCTGAGGGCCCGGGCGGCGGGGTGGGGCGGGGCGGGAGGGCGCGAGGCGGGGCAGCCACGCGGAGTCCCGGCTTTTGTGAAGCATCATGGCCGCGGGCCTCGGAGAACGCGGGGCGGGGGTCCCGCCGTGGCGGGGGTGGGGTGGGGGCGGGCCCCAAGCCCAGGTGGCGCCAACGTCGGTCGCTCTCCGCCCGGGTAAACAGCCCGAGTGTAAAGAGACCCCTCGCCCTGTGGGCCCGAAG